TCGGCCATGACGTCTTCGGCGATCTGGTCATTGAAGCGTTCGCCCATGGCACGGACTGGATCACCAGTTTCAGTCTTCTCGGGTGGCCCAATCCACCATGGCCCCTCAAATCGGCATTCGACGGCACCGCCACCATAGCAACTCACGGCAGGATAATAACCGATCAAACCGTCGTCGGCATTCTCACGTTCGCCAATACCGAGATTGTTTGTTCCATTAGCGAGACGACTTGCAGGCGGCAGGAAGGCATAAAGTTCTTTGAAGGGAGTGCCCATTCGGACTCCGTTCTTTAGAATGGTGATGCTAGATCCCGGGAGTGTGCGAAGCGTGGCATCCTCGCTGTTCAAAGGGGACGGGGGACCAAACGTCGGTGTTTCCTTGAGATTGAAAGCGTAGTCACGGAGGTGTTTCGTAGAAAAGACATTGGATTGTTGCCAACAAAAATCCGACTTGTAGTGAAAGGGAATCCGATCTCGGATGATGTTGGTTGCTACCGGCTGTGATGAGGTATTTTCGGCAGGATCGTAAGTGCCCTCCACTATCTTCTTGTGAAGAGAAAGAGGCGGAAGAGTGATGAGCATGCCGATAACATCGCCTTCGTTGATGGCCTCTCCCTTGGGAAAGAAGAACTCGCATCGCATGCGATTGACAACTTCGCCGTTCACATCTCGAATCCCGTACCCGTAGCAATCCACCCCAACATTCACATCGAGGTCAGCCTCACGTCGGGCAAAACCGATGCGGACATGACCACGGGGTGAAGTTGTTGATCTGCCGTTCTGAGGTACCTGAGGATCATTGATTATGCCACTAATCACTCGAGCTTCGTAATAATATGTACCCTCTCGGGCACATACATTGGCGCGGGCAGTGTGCCACGCATCACTGGTTGTCACCGCAGTTGCACTCTCTGAAAACGAGATGGCAGCCGGTGAATCCTCGAAACTGAAGCGGGCATGGTATGGGCGCACGTCGGTCTGTCGATATTTGATATGAGGGAATCCGGGGTCTGCAATGGCATAGCTATAACGAAACCCATTCTTGTTGGTGAGTTTATCAACAACCTCGTAAAAATCCCAGCTCTGACCCAAAACATCTGACGTCTTTCGGCTCACGCGATTCAACTGGCGAGGTTGTGGAGGGTATCGATCTGAGGCGTGCGGCTCGGCGAGTAACAATGGACGAAGAATACTCAGTTTTGAGCTGGGCAGAGCTGTGCTTGGTGCAGCTGTGGCTCGCTTTTTCGGTGGTGGTGCGTTCTCGGTGTCTAGTCCTTTGGCTTCACGTTTCTTGCGACTGTCTCGCTTGTTGCGCTTGGCTCGACCATCGCCTGGGACGGATGGTGCGGGAGAAGATCTTGGATTCAGGTCGGTAAATTGTGCATTCAGCAGAGGTCCACCATTGGGGGGTAGGACCGGGGAGTTGATGTTGGAAGAGGGAGCGGAGGACCCGGGGGCTTGACCGGATGCCATGATGGAGGCTATGTTTGTCTGCTGGATTTGTAGTACGTCGATAATCCGTCCACCTGGAGAGCGTCAGCATTTTGGGCAAAGCACAATCCAATGAGCATGGCTCCATGATACTTTGCTTTTGCGAAGTAGGGTCCTTACTTAATTTGGAGCTTGCATGTATGCCTGTCAAGCTGTTCGGGCGTTTATACGCGAGAAACCCAGTTAGTTGGCAGCCTGTGGCTTCCAAAATCGAGGTCTTATAGTGCGCTAATGAAGCATTTATTCATTGATAGGCAGCAATTTTCTCTTAATGCATAAAGAGTCAATCGCATGCACGCTGGACAACAATTTCCTTGGGATACGACTAAGGCGGTCAGTGATAGATTGCAGAAAAGGTGTGAAGAGGCTCGGGCGGTGTGAAGCAAGGGCGGTGGAGACACTGGGGGGCACCGCCGGCAGAAAAAAAAAATATGACCACACAATTTGATCGTCGTGTGTACTTCGATAAGGCAGCCCAAACTACTCATTTCGGTTTCTTCTGTTTATCTGAAGAATTACCCGCCATGCCAAAGGTTTCGAGCTCCCGCGCTGCGGCAGCGGCGCGCAGACACAACCCACTTGCTGAAGATATAACTTCCGCGGGGCACCTTCGGACACAGAGCAGCAAGAAAGGCAAAGGAAAAGCTGACGAAAACGATGAGAATGGCGAAAATGGACAGCGTTTTGTCGATGCGAAGATGTCGCGCAAGATTCTGCAGATTGGTCAGGAATTGGCCGACGAGGATGCCGCCGAGCAACTCAAGAACTCAGCAAGACCACAGTCGAATGCATTTGAATTCGATACCCGCTTCGAGGATGAGGGGGCTTTCTCTGACGACGACGAGAAGTTTGAGGCTGACGATTGGGTTGATGATGAAGTCGAGCAAGTTGTAAGACTCCCGAATCCTTAGGATGATATTGCTTCTAACATTTACAAGGAGGTCGACCCCAATGATCTAGATATATTCAACAAATTCATGCCTCACGAGGAGGACCCTATATTCCACCCTAAGGACCCCAGCTCCGCTGGCCCCACCAACCTTGCCGATTTGATCCTCGAGAAGATTGCCGAGCACGAGGCGAAGCAGGCTGGTGAGGGCCCCCATGGTCCATACATCCAAGGCGGTGGTGTCCCCGAAGATGCAGTCCAAATTCCTGCCAAGGCTGTGGAAGTATATGAGAAGTATGTTTTGCGAAGGTTCCTGGTAAAGCCAAGCTAACTTGTTCAAGGGTTGGCATGATTCTTTCTCGCTACAAGTCTGGCCCTCTCCCCAAGCCTATTAAGATCCTTCCCTCTGTGCCGAACTGGCAGACCCTCCTGGATATCACTCGCCCCGAGTCGTGGACCGGCAACGCCGTCTACGCTGTAACCCGTATTTTCATCTCGTCCAAGCCTCACATTGCCCAGGAGTTTATCAACACTGTGCTCTTGGAACGCGTGCGCGAGGAAATCCACGAAACCAAGAAGTTGAACGTCCACACCTATAATGCGCTGCGCAAGGCCCTGTACAAGCCCGCCTGCTTCTTCAAGGGACTTTTATTCCCGCTCGTGTCCACCGGCACCTGCACCCTGCGTGAAGCCCATATTGTCTCCTCTGTGATTGCCCGCGTCTCCGTTCCCGTGTTGCACTCTGCAGCCGCTCTGCTCCGCATGTGTGATCTGGCCGCGGAACAATCGTTGACCTCCCTTGAAAGCACTGGTGCTGTCAACATGTTCATCCGTGTCTTCTTGGAGAAGAAGTATGCCATGCCGTACAAGGTCATTGACGCCCTGGTGTTCCACTTCATGCGCTTCCGCGCCGTCGACCCTTCGGATGATGCTATGAACGACGGACCGTCAGGACTTGGTTCCAAGGCATACAAGCTGCCAGTTCTCTGGCACCAGTCCCTTTTGGTCTTTGCCCAGCGTTATCGTAACGATATCACTGAGGACCAGCGTGAAGCTCTTCTCGATCTGCTTCTCGTCCGTGGACACAAGGACATTGGACCTGAAGTGCGACGCGAACTGCTTGCTGGCCGAGGACGTGGTGTGGTGGTCCCCGACCCGGAGGCCCAGAATGCTCTCGATGCTGGCGACGACACGATGGATGTCACCATGTAAAGGAGATCAATTGATCATAGCCCCGCACATGTTCGCTTACGATCTTGTCATGAGCACGTTTCTATGGGTTGGCGTTTTTTTTTAACTTCTTTGTTTGAGGGACTGCATATAATTCCCCTGGTGTCGAAGGTTTCCAAAATGGGATGACAATACCGATAAATTCACATTATAGTGTATATAATGTATTGAATTGAGGTAGACGTAAATCGTTATCTTTTCACAAGCAACTCATCAATGGTCCATGCACGCCGTAGGAGTCACCCCTAGACAAAAATAGGTAAACTTCCGAGATTATCCCTAAATAGTAACAGAAGGGCAACCTTGTTATTTACGTTGTTCTACACCCGTTTCAGCCTCTCAACCTATAACATGGGATGCATGATTCTATAACATCGGAAGATTTGCGCCAATCCAAATGGTACACTGGCCCCCTTCTCCATACATGTACACAATAACATTGTTACATTCTCAGTCAGGGGCACGGAGAATTAACGGGGCGGGGCACGATTGACCTGCAAAATACCTGTGATTGGCGTTTTAAATGGAGCATTCTCCGGGCAACCCTGATTGCGCCTTCAGATTCAGGAGAACCTATCGATACTAGATCCACCCTAGACTGTTCGAGACTCTTTGTGATCTCGCATCATTTTGTACATGGTATTGTGGGATGGACATATTGTGATTCAGATCGATCAAAAGTTCGAAATGACCAAATGTGTCTTGTATTACCCGAGAAACCAGAGGCCGAAGGAAGTAAAGATATGTACAACGGGATCATGTACACCGTGTAAATCGAACGCAAGAGGTAAGACCCAAGTGCCCACTTTTAGGATGTATGTCCTCCGTTTAGGATGTATGTCCTCCGTTTAGGATGTATGTCCTCCGGAGCTCCGGAGCTCCATAAGAAGAAGGCAAGTGCGATGTTTCAAGCAGCAAATCATGATTGGCTGCCGACAGGAGCTAACCCACGGAATGCAGGGGGAAATTAACGTAACTTACGTGTCTCGTTACAATTACTCAGCCCCCTATTGAGGTACTTGGTGGCACATGGTAAAATGTATGGTGTAGCTTGTACCTTATGTACGTGTGTGTCCAGGTTCCAAGGTTGCCCCCCTTTGTTCCATCCCCTCCGACAGCATCCCTTTCAGACCACGCTGGCCTCTACTTAAACTTCATCTTGCCCATCCGTTTGCAGTTGAACAGCTGTCCTTTCCATTCTTTTCTCTCTCTTTTCGCTGACTCAGCTTCTGACTCAATCTTCCCCGGAGTCTGGTCTCCGGTGCCGATCGTGATGATAACGTGGCCTATGTGATTTGAACCTCTTTTCACAGCAGTCATTAGAAGTCTATACCTATATACTGAACTTATTATTCACGTCCGGCACCGGTTATCCATTTGACCCCGTCACCATGGCGGATACTATCAACCCGTTGGATACCCTCCCAACCTCACCATCCCCTGAAATGTACACAGTTTCCCCCGCGGATACATCATTAGACTCTCCGGAGCCGGAAGATGATCTTAAGAAAGAAGATGAAGAGAAGAAACCAACCAAGAAGAGAAAGTCCTGGGGACAAGAACTTCCAACCCCTAAGACAAACCTTCCTCCTAGGTATGTTGTTGTACACCGCTAGAACAAACGTTGAACCCCGCTAACTCGTCTAGAAAACGCGCTAAGACAGATGATGAAAAAGAGCAGCGCCGGATAGAACGGGTCCTCCGGAACCGTGCTGCTGCTCAAACATCACGCGAGCGCAAGCGCCTTGAAATGGAGAAGCTTGAGACCGAAAAGATCCGGATGGAGCAACAAAATCAGTTCCTGATTCAGCGTCTCTCACAGATGGAGACAGAGAACAACCGCCTGAGTCAGCAAGTGGCCAAGCTCTCTGCTGAGGTCCGTGGATCTCGCAGCGTGACGCCCAAAGCCAGCTCTCCCGCCATCGAATCTCCCACCCTCACGCCCACCCTCTTCAAACAAGAAGGCGATGAACTTCCTATGGAACGGATTCCCTTCCCCACTCCCTCCGTTACCGACTACTCTCCCACCCTTAAGCCTTCCACTCTGGCTGAGGCCTCCGACGTGACACAACATCCTGCAGCGGTGTTGTGTGACCTGCAGTGTCCGTCGCTGGCCTCGAAGGATCTGGAAGCGCCTTACCCCTCTTCGACCTCTCCGACGAATCTCAGACTGCAAATGACGTTGCAGCTCCTCTTTCTGACGATGACTTCCGTCGCCTGTTCCACGGTGATTCACCCGCTGAGCCAAATCCTGCTTTCCCTGAAGACGGGTTTGCCTTTGACGTTCTCGACGGAGGAGATCTATCGGCATTTCCCTTTGATTCTATGGTTGATTTCGACCCCGAGTCTGTCGTCCTCGAAGGTGTCCAACCGTCCGATCTTTCGGATGAGACTTCTCACCAGACTATTAGCTTGCAGCCCAGCCTTGGCGCGTCCACTTCGAGATGCGACGGGCAGAGCATTGCAGCTAGCGGTTAGTGAGACTTTCTCCCCGCAGACCTGGTCGGCTGGCGCCTCGGAGGCTCGACCGAGTTGGGAGTTGTTATTAACCATGGCCTGGGCAATCGATAGTCTCAGTCTGTCGAAACGACACCCGCGGGGAAACATATTGAAATCCGGTCGGCAACGCAGTAATGGGAAGATGCATCGAGTTAAACGGAGTTTTCGGAGTTCCAGCGCGAGCAAGGCTCTTTCATCCTTGCTCATGGGTAAACAGCGCTGAGGTTTCAAATTTGTTTTGGCCTGTATACTAGTTTTTACAATGCAAAATTGACTGGCTCATCTTGCACTTGTTTGCCAATCTTACATGATATGCACGCAGCAGAAATATACATAATTACAAAGTTTTTTTTTTTTTTCTAAATCGCCACAAAACTCCTAGCCTAGTTCTATTTGGAGAGACTGTTTCTGCATATTGGTCAAAACTAGACTGGTGTTAAATCAACCGACCTCGGGACGCTAAGAATGCTCTGAATGCGGTCAGTGACGTTGCCACGCCCCCCCAAATCCATCTCCCTTCCACAAAACCTGCAAACCTCATCCTCTACATTCTTTCTAGCCGATATCATGGTTCGCAAAGACCCTATCTTCGAAGCCCGCACAAATGTCAAAGTAAGTTGCCTCCCCGCACTTTGCTTCCCCTCCTCACAGCGTGCGTCACCGCCTATGCATGAAACCAAGGCTAACCTTATCTTCCCAGCTACACTCCAACAGACTCAAAAAAGAAGCCGTCCGAGCAGAGGCGACCTTTAAATCTGAAAAGGCGAAAGCCGACAAAGCCATGAAAAACCGCGAGTTCCAGATCGCCCGCATTCACGCCGCCTCCGCCGTGCGTGAGAAACGACGCCAAGTAACGCTCAAATCCGAAGCGGCACGCGCAGATGTCATCATCAACGAACTCAAGGCTGCCCAAAGTACCCGCGACACCTCCCGGACGCTCGCTATGGCATCGCGAGGTCTAGACGCTGCCTCACGGAGCGTCAACCTCGAACACCTCGTCTCCCACGCGAACAACTTCCTCGCCCGGTCGGAAGATTTTAAGATTGCTAGCAGTGCGATCGAGGATGTTGCACAGAGTATATCGATGCAAGAATACGGTGCGGAGGGGGAGGCCGATGTTGATCGGCTTATGGAACAGCTCGCAGATGATGCGGGTGTTGATATGCGCCTAAACCTTGAGGCGGATGCTGCGCCCAAGGAGGAGGTTAAAGAGCCTAGGCAGGTAGATGCTGAGGTTGAGGATGGCTTGGGTGCAAGGCTACGCGCTTTGCGAGCTGCTAATTGAGCAGGTGGCTCACGCTCTCCTTGTCCTCTTCGTACACCGGATTTACGGGACTGTCAATCCCCCACATGGATTCCTCGCGATCGGACCTTGCAACACACTGACGATCCACGAAGTTACGCTTGTATTTCTGTCTGCGCTGTTCTATGCGTGATTGGGCGTATTCAACTAAGTTTTTTTTTTCATGCATGAGGCTAGGCCAACCCTGAGTCATTACCATCCTAACAAAAGACCAAAAGAAGATCAGCTCGGTAAAAACATGAGGCGAAAAGTCTAGGGTCTAGGACTAGATCGTAAACTGACTAGACCCTCCACTTAGCTCTGGCAAATTGAGAGACCTTACCAATCACACGCGAGCATCTGCCTACTTTAATGCAGGCAATTTCCTCCCGAGGAGGAACCAGTATATACTGTACCTTAGACGACAAAGCGCCCCCAAATCGACCCAAAATAAGGGTCCTCCAAGATGAGCCGCTATCTGGTTTTTTTTTTTAATAAAGCTATGAATGCCTTTTCCTAGTGTTTTTCCCTACAAGCCCCCGGGAACATTCAAGATGGTGCCTTCACACTCGTTCATTCTTTTCTTGTCATTCATTTGGAGTCCCTTCGTTCAGGCCGCCCCTTGGATTGTGACGGATACCTACGAGCAAGAAGTTCATACAAATTACTACTCCGATTTGGTCACTGAAATCAATCAAATCACTCCAACTGCAACTTTGCCAGCCGAGGCCCTGTCTACCATTACTTCCACCAATACCGTCTATGACTACACTGTTGTCGAAGAGCTGTATCCCACTGGCTATGGCGAGGAGCGTGGCTTATACGATGGCTACCGTGGCGCTATAGACAACGATGGAACCTATCATAGCACCATCTACCAGGTCAACCTGACTTTCTCGGCCCCGACGGCCTGCTCTACTCAATGGACCACTACGACCGCTGTTTCAGTCCATCCGCCCTATGAGATCGCGACCTTGCTGCCCAGGGAGCATGTGGCAGCGTCGACCTCAGTCGACAACAGCCAGCCATTCCAACCCACTACGTACATCTTCGAGGTGGTGTTCGTAGAACCCACCCAAATTCCCAGCAGGACTCTGGACTTTCTGAGCTACTATCACACTCCTACGTCTCTGTACGTAGGTGCCGGATGCCAGTACACGGGCGTCAGCGGGGATTATAACGACAACTCTGGATACTATACTGGGTTGTCGGGCGGACCAGAAAGCACTCAGTACCCCGGCGGAACATCTAACAGTGGCTACGATGACTATGGCTACGATGACGACGACAACTGGTTCACCAGCACATGGGGATCCGGCCTTGGCATCTCCTACCTGGCAATTGTATTGATATGCGTGCTGGGTTGGATCGGCATTGTTTTCATCCTGGGCATGATCGAAGCCTGGGTGCGATTCCGTCGTCTCATGACGGGCTGGCAGACCCGCCGTGGTTTCCCTCTTTTCTGGTCATTCATCTTGCTCCCTCTTTCCCTTTTCTGTCTCTTTTGTTTTCGCAAGGGATATCGCGCCCGTAGCAAAGAGGATGCCGACGTCCTCAGGCAGAGATGGGATGCGATGGGTTTCTGGACCAAGATCCGCTTGTTCTTCGCTTGGGGATTCCGTTTCAAGTATCCGACTGTCTTGGGCCCGGCACCTGCGACTGTCAAGGCAAACAAGAGGCCCGATGAGTCTGGTCCGCGCTTGCTGGATGTAACTCCTCCCGGTACCGGTGCTCTGCCAGCAGGTCATGGCGAGGAGGCTGGTCCCGTTCGCCATGCTTGATTGGAGAGTGATGGGTGATCATTTGGTTTGTTGGGTTCGGTCACATCTTCCCTGTCCATTGATAAGTCATGAAAACGCCAGCGGCCTTGTTTTTTAATAACTTGTAACTACCTAGTGAATAATGTTCAATTGATACCACTTCCTCGTTATACTAGGGTCGTTGGCTGCATCGTACTCTACCACTAATCGGTGCCCAGCAGTTTTGAATCATGTGGGTAGACTGTGTCCACGGTGAGGGCAGATACCTGAGGAGACTTCTGTGATACTCATGAGAAATTGAATGGCATGGGCTCTATCTTTTAATGGACAGTTTTGCAACTTCAATCATCAGTGGGAAGTATATATTTGAAGGAGGGATTGAGATGGATCAATCCATTTTCAGATGTGTGGCACTTATGTCCTTACAAGGAAGCAACCCTTGGTTTATTTGGAACAGAGGATATTTTTTTTTTCAAAAAAGACGCCGTTCAATTAATTAAAAAATGTCTTTTCCACTATTAAGCAATATCGTTAAATTGAACAGCAAAAAAGAAATCTCAGGTTTGGTTTGTAGGAATAGCCGAACGCGGGGGTCGAACCCGCAGCCTTAAGATTAAGAGTCTTACGCTCTACCGATTGAGCTAGCCCGGCCGGGCTGTTGAAAGAGGCTGCATTTATTTGCTACAGAAGCCAATACCCATTTTGTTCAATTGTTCAGACTCCCGCACCTCCTTTATACGAGTATCCATGGCCTAGATCAAAAACAATAACTCATGGAGAACGAGTCGGTAGTGTCCGCTTCTAGCCCACATGCAAAACAAGCTGCATGCTTGAACTGTCGACGGAGCAAGATTCGCTGTAACCGCCTGGCAGGTGCGTCCAGCTGCGAGAAATGTAAACAAACCAGTGCAGAGTGTGTTGTGCCGAACCATCATCTGGGTCGACAAAAGGGGGTTAAAAAGTGAGTCAAATCAAATCGACATGGAAAAAATCCTGACTGAAATTTAGTAAACGTAAGGGCTTGGAGAAAGCGATACATCAGATCGAGCAGGCAATCAAGCGGCCCAAGGTCCACGCTTCTAGCGACGAGGAGGCCCAAAGAGCCATTTCAGTCCTCCAGGAGCTCCTCGGTCAAGTACAGAGCCACTTAATGCAGAATGGTCATGAGCACGAGCGTGGCTTTTCACAGGTGTCAGATCACCCGCGCACGACATCTCCACGTGAGATGCATGCAGAGGAGAGTCTTGCTCTTGACGATGCAGAAAATCCTCTTCAGCTGCTTGCTAGAGCTTCCAATCTTCAGCTTTCGCCGACCGGGATGCGGCGTGCCCCAAAGTCTCTACGGCCGTTGTCGGACGGTCCTTCGTTCCTTCAGAGCCCCCCGAGAGGGGAACCGAGTGCCAAGTCCTTTTTTGTCCCTGCAAGAGCGAACTTGGATATAGGACCTGAAGTAGACCCCGTTGAACTAGGCTTGGTCACATTGGATGAGTCCGAGTCTTTGTTCTCATTGTAAGTGGTCTGTCTATTCTTGTTAAAAGCATATACCTGACAGTTCAAGTTTCTACCAAAATCTCGCCCATACTCGATGGGGCCTCGATCCTTTGACACATACCCCGTCCTTTGTACGGTCCCAGTCGGCTTTTCTTTTCACTTCAATCCTGGCAGGCGCAGCCCTATTTTTGCCATCTGCTGTTGCTTTATCTAAGAGGCTATCGAGGCATTGCAAAGGGCTCGCGAAGCGAGTGTTTACACACCGCCATAGATCTGTTGAGATTGTTCTGGCTTTCATGGTGAACGTTCCATGGATGTCACCTGGTGATAGACTGGGAGATGATGATACTTGCTCCTATATTGCGATGGCTCTCACTGTGGCTCTAGACTTATCGCTGAACAAGATTATCTCGCCCTCTTCAAGCTTTGACCATGAACTTATGAATCGCCTAGCACGAGCCGAGTGTGTAGATGCTAAGAGGGCTTTACAGATGGATGGATTTGGTGATGTTGATCCGTCCTCAGAATGGGGCCTTCGGCTGTTGAGAAGACGCGAAAGAGCTTGGATTGCGTTGTATGTCGTCGAGAGGGGGTACGTGTGATTCTTTTTTGGTAGTACACCTGGATCTGGCACTAACTCGTCTAGTGTTTGTCTTGCGCGAGGACGAAGTTACACTGTTCCTTTAACAACGCTAATCGAAAACTGCGATCGTTGGCACCTGTCCAACATTGCAGACCCGCATGATGGTCCTATGAATTCCATGGCAGTTCTTCGAAGGGACCTTGTAGGTGCCATCCCAACTTCTACTACAAATTCTCCTTTCATATCATCCAGTTCCGTTCTAACAAGTACAGGATGGACTATTTCAGAAAGTTAAATCAAGCTGTGATAGTCATCGCTTCGTCGATACCGGCTCGGAAGCTGCTCATTCGTAAGACGTTATGCCTTTGATGAGTATCACTTATATATTGACCATCGCACAGAATCAAGAAGACCATTCAAATCTTTTACGAGCAGTGGTATGCAACATGGGCCTTGTCGATTGGCGAAGGAGACAGTTAGTTCAACACCCCAATTTTGACCGCCTCCAAATTAAAAAATTACAGCACGCTCTCTACCCCCCTATGTTGAGATTCTTGTCACGCACACTCAGTTGTCCACCTACGGTGGTGTCATCAATCATCCGACAGCTCCAATCGAAGTCAAACGTTTCTTCCGAGCCGCTGGTCTATCGTCTGCATTGAATGTCCTACGAGCAGCCATCCAGGGTGAATCACGACTGAAATCAATGCCCAATAATACCGTCATAATGATCTCCTTTGCTGCATGCTATGCACTCACCCTCAGTATAACACCCGGTGATAGCAGATCCAGTCTAGCCCCAAGCGTCCGAAATCTCATCGAAGAGACTGCCGGTGTTTTAGAAAGGATTGGAGCAACACCACGTCACCGCAGCGGCGCATCCGTTCTTTACGGGAGGTTCTTACGTGAGTTGATACGGCGTGCACCAGCCTTACCTCTACAATCTACAGGACATCTACGCAAAGCCGATGCACCCGAGCCAGCATTTCAGTCTGCATCCCTGGATCATGGCCCGCCGCCAGTAACACTACCACCTGAAGATTTCTGGTTTGAGCCACTCCAATTCTCTGCCATGTCTGATAATCAGATTGTAGATGCAGTCAACCGTGCGGGCACCGCGTTTGGTGCGTCGATCCCGGATGTGCCTCTTGATGACATGCTAAATTGGGATTGGCTTGACTTTGCCAACCCGGATTTTAATCTTCAGTAGGTCTAGGATGCGGCACTTTGCGTATCCCAGGGGTGTATTTTTTTTGGGCTCGATCAAACCTTTGTTTTTTGATCATATCCATCTTCCTAGCTTCCGTGTACATACGTATCGCTAAGAACCATCTTGACACATATTCACCCAACACCCCAAATGGAAGACACTGATTCCTTTGAAGTTCACGTATCTTCCTGCCCCACAGGACCCCGATACAAATTACTAAACGCCAAGTTGTAATTCGTCAAGACTACAAGATCTAGGGCGAAAGACCACACGATGTAAAAGATTGTTGCACCCAGACAGATCCTTGTTGAGTGCTTTCTTGCACAACGTCATATACCCCTCTCCGATGTATTTCAATAAGTCACCTTTAACAATATCAATTTTTCGTTCAAAATCAAGTCGCCGATCTTACGCCTACGTCTTCGATGGTTTCCGATGCTGATACTTCGACGGGAGTAGAGCGATGGTCAGAGGGGGCGTGGAGGGAGAGGGGCAACTGAGAGGAATCTGGGGGTTGGTTTTAAGAAGCAGTTGACGGGCTGATTGAAGGGGCTGTTTTGTTGATTTCCAGTTTGGCGGGTCATGGTTTAGTGTTCATGGTACCTGTGACATCATAGGGAGTTTACCTGGGACGAATGCTTTTTTTTTCATTTCAAAAGACCAATCACGAAGCTCTGGGAGCTTATATAAGCCACAGGAGTCAATCGGAGTTTAGTCGGAATTAATAGAAGAAGAGAAGAATGCACAGGTCGGTGGAAGGTTGGAGGAATGTCACTTGCATGGCTTCCGTGGATGGCCGCTCGGCATCCAGAAGTAGTCCCGACTAGCCGATACCGTTAAATGTTTGAACTGCGCGATGATTTCATTTTGGCATTGTTCTTTTTTTTTGGTCTAAACAATTCCAAGACATGACGACTCTTAGAATTTCCACTACCCTGTCGCGCAAGGCGCTCACAGTCTGTCGACCTCGACTCTTCATTGGAGTCCGCGCCAGCGTGCACCCCTTGCAACCATTTAGCACCAGCACCAGCGCTAGATACTCCAGACCTGCGCCTTTACAATCTCTCGCTCCTAAGATCGAGCGCGGCGGCTCAAAGCTCTTTAAAGATGCGGATGCTGCTGTTGCCGATATCAAGAGCGGATCGACAATTCTTAGCTCTGGGTTCGGTCTTTGCGGGGTTGCAGGTACGTGGGACGAGTGATCAGCGCGAGAATAAAAGACCTGACACGAAGACTAGAGACACTCATTAATGCCATGCACCGCCGAGGTGTTGATCAATTGCACTCGCTGACAGCCATCTCAAACAATGCCGGCTCCGCGGGTCAAGGAGGCCTTTCGACACTATCGCAAAATGGCCAGATCGACCGTCTGATCCTTTCATACCTCGGGAACAACAAATCGCTAGAAAAGAAATATTTGACGGGACGCATTGCTATTGAGCTTTGTCCGCAAGGCACGTTGGCTGAACGTCTCCGTGCTGGGGGTGCTGGGATTCCGGCTTTCTTTACCCCAACAGGTGTCCGTGAGTATAGACTTGATTCTCAAGCTACGATTGTATCTGACAAGCGAAGACACCTTTATTCAGGAGGGAAAAATCCCGGTTCGTATGGATGAGTCTGGTCACGTCCTGGAGTCTGGCAAGCCACGCGAGACCCGGGAATTTAACGGCAAAACATACCTGATGGAAGAAGCCTTGACCGGTGATGTCGCCATCCTTAGAGCTTGGAAAGTGGATGAGGCCGGTAACTGCGTGTTCCGGTGAGTACATACATCCACTTTTTCCGTTCCAGGGTTGGAGACTAATATTGATTAGATATACTACCAAAGCCTTCGGCCCAATTATGGCCAAGGCCGCAACCCTAACCATCGTAGAGGCAGAGAACATTGTCCCAGTTGGCTCTATCGATCCCAACGACGTGGACCTACCGGGTATCTTTGTGGATCGGATCGTCCCTGCTACGGATGACAAGCACATTGAAAACAGGAAGTTACGCTCGAGCGAGGCTACTGCGGCCGGGTCGGCTAAAGATGCAGCTCAGATGCAAAGAGAACTGATTGGCCGTCGGGCGGCCAAGGAGCTGAAGCCGGGATTCTATGTGAACCTGGGTGTCGGTATTCCCACGTTGGCACCGTCATTCCTGCCCAAAGATGTGAAGGTTTGGATTCAGTCGGAGAATGGTATTTTGGGAATGGTAAGTTACTAGATCTTTTTCTACTCCCCGACCTAACCAGACCCAGGGTGATTATCCTACCGAGAAAGAATTGGATCCGTAAGTTGTTCCTCGACATGACGACTTGGGCCCTGACTGACCAAGACCAGCGATATTATCAATGCCGGAAAAGAGACCGTGACCTTGGTTCCTGGAGCCGCCACATTCGACAGCACCGAGTCCTTTGGCATGATTCGCGGAGGTCATGTCGACGTGTCTATTCTTGGCGCTCTGCAAGTGAGTGCCAACGGCGATTTGGCCAACTATATGATCCCCGGAAAGGTATTCAAGGGTATGGGAGGAGCAATGGATTTGATATCGAACCCGGATAAGACCAAGATCGTGGTGGCCACGAGCCACGTCGCCAAGGATGGATCGCCCAAGATTGTACAAAAATGCAGTCTGCCGTTGACTGGTGCCAATGTTGTTAGCACTATTATCACAGACCTGGTACGTTCGAAGAGTCCAGTTGATTCAAGACAACCCTAACCAACGGACAGTGTGTCTTCCAGGTGAATCGAGCTACTGGAGAGCTCACATTGACAGAGCTTGCTCCCGGTGTTGAGGTGGAAGAAGTCCAGAGTAAGACGGATGCCAAGTTCACTATCGCCGATACCCTTGAGATGATGGAATGAAGACGGGAGTCAGGTACCCCGCAACCGATGGACAACCGACTTTGTCTCTCTTTTGCTCTCGAGTCTGAAATTGTCTTGCCTTAAATTTCACCGGATTATATACTTAACACTCCATAGTCAAAGTCACTTCAAGATCTTAATTCGGCAGAATTGCTTTTTCTTCGATTATAGGCATCAGCGGTCCATTGAGGGTCTTGGCCTCAAAAACATGCTCATTTAAAACAAGCTTACACGCGCCTAGCGCTTGGGGAAAAAGACTGAATTTCATCTTTCCATCTTACCATGGTATGTTATCCGTACGGTCTGAAACCCATTCCAGAGGAAACACGAAGTTTTGTTCTCCGACAATCGAGTGGTGGACCTGGCCTCTTCTTGGAGAACAACTGAACCCATGACATGAAAAGGGCTATCCAACTCACTTTATGGATCTGATATTGTCTACGGTCCATTTACTGTTGTCGTCAGTGGAGGCCCTTTCATCAGATCTTGGAGAACACGACCTACCACGACATCTGATACACGGTACACTGGCGTGTTAGCCGCTTGCCATGAGGATAGTCATGCCAAATTGAACGCGAGGGGAGTCAATGATAGCGATTGGGAGAGTGAAGAGCATTATCACGCCTCGGAGACGGAGACGATCAGAGACAATGGCAACAACGACTAAAAAACCATGAACGAGCGTTTGAAAAAAAAGTTGATCCAAAGTAGAAAAACCTGTAAAGTATGGCCGCGACAGCATCAGGTATCACAGACCATAACTGACCCTCGTTGGCGTCTTTGGCTAAACCGCGGTTTTTGATATTTGCTGGCAGCTAGAAACCCTCAGTGACTTTGAGACGGCGATTGGACCCCGGGAATTCATACAAACAAATCAAAGCAGTATAATCCAGGGAGAATGGCAAAATACGCCGAGGCAGATAGCCACACTTGTGGATCCAGCATACCTCGGCGCACTTCAGACCATTTGAACGATTCTGCTTCCGGCGTCAAGGAACTGTTTACGTTAGCCAAGCTTTATCGTCTAGTGGGTCAGAAAAGTTTACCCTCCCAGTAGGCCGAGGCTATCAAGTATTAGCCTGTTCCCTTCAAGTTCCTTTTCTTCTGTAGTCAAGAAAGACGCAGACTCCAAGATATTTGGAAGGAAGAAGAAACTCAACACTTCACAGACAAATGTCTGATTAACAGTCAGAATCTTTCTTTGAATTTAACAGCAATTGCCTTCACATACCAAAAGTCCCTCGATAATCAAAATCCAACGCCAACCTTCTATGCGACCTCTAGGCCCGATTTCGAGCCCACGAGCGAGAAGCTTTACTCTGTTAGCATCCACAAAAGAAAAGAAATTGATGGATCTGTACCTTCAAATGCACCCGGAAGGGAAGCACCTATGTAGAACAAGCCAATTCGTAAAGCCAAATCACCTCGTCTCTGGAATGAAGATAGATAAAAGGACTTTTTTTCGTCGTCAGTTATGATCAGCACCAATCCCACAAGACTTTGGAAACATACCATGCCAGGGAGTAGACCCCCCCAACTCCCAACAAAGCACGGACGGCGACAAAACCAGCGAAAGTTTGTACAAATCCTAGACACATAGTAAAGATGCCCCAAACGATCGTCAAGAACGGCAGCAAAATCTTCGGTGATGCTTTTTAAGCACTAAATTACTAGGCAACTCGCTGGGGCTCTCGTCCGGGTGCTTTATTTCCCCACGACCCCCGGATTTTTGACGTGTTCCCCACTGGTAATCTTACGGTAATATCCTCATTACATTACTGCCATTTTACCGACCCACTCAGTATTTCTCGGTGTTCACTTCTGAGCTCCGCTTGTTTTTCAAAAGCTCCGGACTTCGGGAAGAGAATTGGTCTTCCATCCCAATATTTAATGGAAAAAAAAACCATCCACCCTCAGGGAATGAGAGCTCATTATCCGACATGTCTAGACTTTCAACTAGCCTCAAGGCCTTGATCAATGCCCCTTCCGCCCGGCCATCTACCATTCCAGCGCCAGCAAATATAACTTCGGTTTACCAAAAGATCCAACAAACCGCGCAATCCAAACAGATCTCGCAGCCATCATGGGTCGCCCTATCAGTGAGCCAATCTCTTCAATCAAGAGTGAGCACGATTTAACAACAATGCCAGACCGCAGCAACAATAACCATGAATTCCCCCGAGTCCCTCGCCGCCCTCTACGAACTAGCCAGCACCAACCCCGACAAGCAAGTTGAGACCGCCGAGCTGATACGGGAGGTCGGTCTGAAATGTATCAGCTTCAATGGCATTCCACGCACCATTAATTGCCTCAACGCCTTCAAAGCCAGCCTCCCAGATTCAGTCGGCAGCCAGCTCTCCCGCACTCCGACCCGTGCGCCAACCCCGGAGAACATCACCGCGATCAGTGAGCGCGGCCAGGCACTCTGGGATTCTATCTATCGGCCATTTGAGAAGAAATTATTCAATAAACTGGCTGACTCACACCCCGACCTGCCGGTGCATATCCTGCACGGCAACTACGGTGCTCTGTTGTCAGATCCAGAGCGACGCACCGGTGCGTCTGCTGGGCGCATTCTTACGTCGATAGTTGCTATCTCGTGCTTGCGCGCTCAGTCTGGCGTTGCTCCTCAGGTCATCTCGCATGTGTTTGGGTTGCGGAAGGCACTTGAAGATGGCTCGTGGGTGAAGGATGTCGAGGGGGAGAAGGCTGCGCGGTGGTTGGCTAGCGACGAGGGGAGTACGTGGATTCTGGACAGCGTTGATACCATCGTTGATGCTATTAGCCAGGGCGCTGGGTCGAACTTTGCTCCTGCACGTGCGAAGCTGTAAATGACGAAAAAAAAAAAATTGTATCCCACACATCTCCAATACTATGAGTTCGCTCCGAAGGTTGTAGGCCACTTTATCCAGAATCAAGCGGTTTCATCCGTGTGGCCGAGGCGACCATACACCTGCGCTGGTTTTATCTTTGTGTGGGAAACTGATTGGATATCAAGCTGCATGCCTCAACAACCGGAGTGTTCGGCACCTTGGTCAAAAAAAAAAGAAAAAAATCAGGCAACATGAGACCCCGCCGTAGCATTCGCGTACGGCAGGTTTTAGAATCCATCAACCCCCACATAATTTTGGTCACTGGCATTTGTGCCGCATTGCTCTTCTTTGATTTATATGAATAGGGGGCGAAAAAGGGTTAAAATGACTGTTGAAAGGAATGCTTACATACGTGCTTTAAAGAGGGGAGGTTTACTAGTGTACGGAAAAAAATCAAGCCCTAAGATATTTGAACGTAGCCCTATGTCTTTGATATTGCTGATTGCCTTAGTCTTCTATTTTTGGATGTGACCGTGCTACTGTCGTAGGTGAAAGCTTCCAGTCCTAGTAACTGGTATTTCGGTAAGAACATGGACTCTTAAACTGACTATACTCGCGGGAAAAGACCCCGACACAGGTGTTCGTCGGGCTCATCAGAATCCCCGCACCAGGATGTAGTGAGCTGGCTTAACATTGCCACTTGCAGCTCATTCCACCAATTGCCATGAAACTCCGGTGACTGTGCAGTGCAAGCTGCATATTCATGTCAGAAGATACCGTTATCATCAGTTCGATTGCTTTGTTAAATAAATTAGAAGACCCGTTTGATCCGGTCGTGCATACCATACGTGTTTGTGGCGCGAAACAAGTGAAGCTTTTACAAACACTTAAGTCTGTCATGTCAGTTCAATCTGTTGTCGGGCAATGGCACCTGCGATTCGGGAGGTTACGCAAACACTGATCGAGGCAGACACGACTCTTGTGACAGTCATTACTCTGGGGTATACTAGGCCATGGCCAACGTTGGACTTGGTTACATTGACGGTGACTACTCCATTCACGACTGTCATCCATGTGGTCGATATAGCAGCGACTCCTGCGCCTGAACAAATCAATGCGGCCCCAAGCAGTGGACTTTCAGATGGAAGCAAAGGCGCAATCGCGGGGTCTATCCTCGGTGTCGTGGTCTTTCTCCTGCTCTTATACTATCTTTACCTATGTCGTTTGCAGTCGCGGGCAATGACTTCACGATCGGTCAAAGTTCCACTTGATGCGCAAGATCCTACGTCGCCTCCGGATCCTGTCCCTACTGACGATAAACCGGCAAGGAAAACGAAGACTGTTACTATGTCGCCTGATCTCCCTCGACATCTTCCTCCATTCTCGGCCTCGAAGGATGCCAAGTTATACATCTCGCATCTTGTGAGACTATCGACAGAAACGAACTCGAGGACTGGGTTTGAGACAAGGGAAGGAAGATTAGGACAACGGATCCGCTTCATGATTCGAACGCGGGAGAAACATAAACCAAGGAAGAAGCGTCGGAGGTCTCACAGGCATCGAAGCAAACGCAAATCTGCGAAGAAGGATACGAAAGAATGAGAATGTCTCTAATCCAAGATGTAAATAGGGAAGGTTTAAATATTGGAGAGGGCAGGTTATACTCGGGTCCTTGTCCATTTTACCAGAGCTTAACCCTGGTCATCCATAGAAACGTTCACTGCACAGATTAAGCCACTTCCTCTGTCGTCCATAGCTGAAACTGAAGAAGGTGGGCAAAAATCTCTATCTCAAAAGGCTCCTACAAGGATATCCCAAGCACAAGCGGCCGACTATAGCATGCATTAATCTATCACCGTTATACGGAGTACAGAGTACTTCTTCCCCTGACAGGTAAGATCCAACCAGTTCAAGTCTTGGGTATCAGCAATTCGGGGAGTGGAATCTCTCAGAGCTCTCTCAGGAGAGGACTTGCTCTCTTCATCTTCGTCGGACACGAGAACGCATTCGGCAACAGGGCCGTCCGGACAGGATATTAAAAATCTCATCAACTCAACCAAACTAAACGAAACCGAAAAAGAATCTAACATCACCGTTCAGCTAGGGATTTGCCCACCTCCACAGATCCACTAGCGTCAAGATTTCTGCCCGTAATTTTTTTTTGGGGTTACAAGTCCATACAGATCAATGGTACCCACCCTGATCTATAAAAACGATCCTAATTGGATAACAAACCCCACCACGTCGATGTAACGGTTATGGTGGAATCATAAACTATGTGGATACCTTTTCAAATACACAAATCTACGACTAATTGGGAAGTGATGTTAATTATCTGACCGCATTCAAAGTGGGTGTGGGCTGATGTCCATCGATTGTGGGAAAACCACCTCGGCTATGGTTAGGCAAATCATCTAGAAACAAAAGATTTGATCAGTCATCTTCCCGACCACCCCTGGTTTAGAAAAGCCCAACGCAACCAAATTCTTCTTAGTGACATGGACCATTCCGGGCGGCCCGCATAGCATGACCTTTGTGTCCGGCGATGGTGCAGGAAGCTGCTCCGCCAGAACCGCCTGGTCCACAAATCCCGATCCATAGGTCCAGCCCTCGGGCGCAGAGTCTAGCAGATACCACAGCTTGAGGTTTTGAGGGTATTGACGCGCGAACCGTTCCAGCTCCTCGCGCAAGAGGATGTCCGACTCGCTGCGGTTCGCGTAGATCAGACTAACCTCTGTCGTATCGGTGTCGTTTTCGCAAATGGCCCTGATAAGCTGGTACATGGGTGTGATGCCTGTGCCGCCAGCCACCATCCCGATCTTGCGACAAAGACCCTTGGTGTAACGCATAGAGCCCTTGGGCCCGCGGAATTCGACTTCATCGCCCACGGTCAAGCCGGCGAGGTATTTGCCGCTCAGTAGACCGTCGGGATAGCACTTGATCACGAGTTCGATGCGACCTCGGTCGAGGTTGTTGGAGATAGGGGTGTATGAGCGAGTGACGGTTGCTCCATCGACAACGGCTCTGATGGCGATGTGTTGGCCAATGGGCAGACCCACCACATCTGTGGCGGCTGGCAGGGCAAAGACGAACCGGTAGACATTCGTTGCTAATTCGGTCTTTTCAACGAGAGACAGGCGTTTATATTGTTGCGGCTCGAGGAAACCGTGTGTCAGATGCGGATCGACACGAATCGCCTTCTTGGACTCGAGATGAGATGGCAGGCACATGAACCCCGAGTCGATCTTGGTGAATCTGCCGGCCTGTCGTGCCACTAGGACTCCCACCGCCGTGGAAATAGCAGAAGCAGCCAAAAAGCCGTTGACGAAACCTCCCTGAGGTAACCGTAGGTTCTTCGGTGGGCGAGGGATCAGTTGGTTGATGGCTCCCAGGTTTGTGATATGGCTGCTTTGGCTGAAGATGTACAAGACTGGGAGCAGTCCACCCAGAGCACAAGCGATAGTCTTGATGGTCGATGAGGAACCGGCGTCTTTAGGTGCTTTTTGGGAGACCACACGCACTGCCTTCGGCCGGACGTACTGCTGAGCATTCTTCAAAGTGCCCACTAGGAAGGGCTGCATGATCTCGCGGGCGTCTTCAGAATGGCCAACATCTTCGTAGGCTGCTGTCGCATCAATCCCGGCTACCTCCATGAGAGCGTCTGCACCACCTGGGTGATCTTGCAGATATTTTGTGAGTTCAAAGACTGTTGCAATTTTAGTACCTTCTTTTTTTGGGGGATTATTTGAAAGGGATGTTATGTTACCTTGTCCATGGATGATCACCCAGGTATCACCCTTGGTGTTATGTGCTGCCACATCTTTCAATGTATACTCCGGAAGCTCGACATCTGACTTCCACTCAGAACGCAGCTCTTTTGTTTCTGGAACGGACATTGTGAATGAGTTTTGTGAAAACCAAAAGGACGGAGTCTTACTTTAATATCGCGGAAAGCACTCCGTACTGGAAAAAAGGAAGGACAGCAATAACCCACTTAGCACTTCCGACATGTAAATGAAACCGGACTATCAGCAATTTGGAATCCAAATTGCCTCGGCATCAAAACCAAAAAAAAAACAACCAACGAAGAAAAAAAAAACAAATCTCTTGTAGGTGGGGCCGTCTATGACAGCGGCAGTGCCGTCCCGGTGAGCCCGAAACAAGGTCCACCCACGAAGATACAGAGCGGCCAACCGTCGACTGCCTGATATCCACCAATCTCTGGATTCTGTTATTATTGTGGATCTTTATCAGGAAATGATTTGAACCGAGGCAATCAGAGATATGCATGTTCTACAATTATGAAATGAAAAAGACTCGGGACGCGCTTTCATAAATGGTGGGGTCAACTGTGCCGTTCAAATGGCTCGGATGATGAGATCCTTATAAATGTAAGCCGGCCCTTCAGCCTTCGAAGAGAGAAGAAAAGACTGTTTTCAATCCTATTTTGACGATGGTTGCCAAAATTTTTTACCTGTTGGGCGAGGCTATCACCTCAGCTCGCCCGATCGAAGTAGAGACAACAGTTGACTACCCAGGGCTTCAACTTCTCATTGCTGGTCAATTTGCCATCGTGGAGCCAAAAGGTAAGTTCGTATCTCATTGCCTCTAGCATTATTCTAACACTCAAGCTAGGCATCGGATTTCAGTCCGAGGACTCGATACTGTTCACTCCCTCTGAGATTTTTGCCCATGAAGAGCCTATCGCCATCTCAATAGATGGTAAGGCTGTACGGGAGATCCCTGGTCCGAAGGGACTGCCATTCGTGGGTAACTTCTTTGAGGTCTACCCTGATCACTTGGGAAACCATCAGCGTCTGTTTGACCAGTATGGACCCATCATTCAAACTACCAATATGGGCCAGACAATCTACCACACCAATGATCCTGAGCTATCGGCCATTGCTTTTGCCGAATCTGATTTTTTTACGAAGAGAATCAACGAAACACACCCTTTACATCCGATCAAGAATCAGCAAGCCGGTGTCTTTTTAGGTGACACCGATACACCCGAATGGCGCGCGGCACACAAGTTCCTCCCACCGGCACTGGGACCGAAAGCAGTGCGCCATTACGCGCCCACTATGCAAGAGACTGTCGAGGATGCCTTCAGTGTGTTCGACGAGCTAGACGAGCGCGGCGAGGCATGGAACGTCTACCCGTACATGCTCAAGCTCGGTTCGCAGGCGGTGGGCAAGCTAGTTCTCGGTATGGACTTCAAGCATTTCTCCGCTGTGGATGCGCCAACTCACGAGCTTGTCAATCAATTTGCGGAGTTGTTGGAATTGAATAAGAAGGTGACTGCCCGTGGTAGTTGGTACGCCAAATTGCCTTTCGGTGACCCGAAACGACTACAGGATACTCGCTGTCGTATCTTTGAGATGGTAAATGAGTCAATTCAAAATGCTTCTCGCAATGGCATCGAGGATCTTCCGTTGCAGAATGCTGCATTGCAGGCTTCTAATATGATTGGTAAGTAAAAATGACGAGGAATTGGAAAGCTCGAGCTCACGGTTATATAGATTATGCGATTCGCGCCACGGATAACAAGGGCGAGAAATTGCCCAAGACAAGTCTGATGGAGGCACTAGTAGTGGCCACTGGCGCGGGTTTCACGACGACTAGCTCGCTGCTGTCGTGGCTGCTTTATTCGCTAGTCAACTATCCCGGCATGCAGGAGAGACTCCTACAGGAACTGGTTGATAACGATATTGACGCCCATACTGCAATGACAGCAGATCTAACGGATCGTCTGCCATTCCTGAACAACTTCATTAAAGAAACCCAGCGCCGTCATAACCCCTCATACCAGCCTGCGCGCACTGCCAAGGTCGACATGATTCTTCCAGGGGGATACAAACTCCCTAAAGACTCCACCATCATCCTGGCACTTCACCACATACATAACAACCCGGCGGTATGGTCTAACCCGGCACGCTTTGACCCAGATCGTTGGGACACGGAGGAAGTCAAGCATCGCCATAAGACTGCGTATATTCCCTTCGCTGCTGGACCGCGTATGTGCATTGGGTTCAGTTTTGCCTTGCAGGAGATCAAAGTGTTCTTGCCCAAGTTGTTGTACCGGTACAAGTTTACAAAAGAGAATGATGGGCCGGTGGAGTATGATCCCATGTTCCTGTTGATCCGTCCTACCAACTTGTATGTGCGGGCAGAACGACGAGTGAAATGGCCTCCCAAGACTATATAGTAGTTGAGTAGAGAGCATAGCCGTGAGAATCTGAAGAACAAAGATGATCATTTTTTTTTTGAGAATCCAAAAGAGTGACAAGATAGTTCTTCAGTTCTCCCAGAAAAGCTTAGCTTCGGCCCGAAGCCCGAACCCGAGGTCGGAGATAAGAAGTGATGGCTTCAACTTGTTTCTTCCTTCTGCCATCTGACAATTTGACCATGGCGAGTCAATCGCGACCGACGCGCTACTTGGCTCATGCCCTCCAAGAGCTGGGCCTAACCACCATGTGGAGGTCGTCGCTCGACGTAAAGCTTCTCTGCGCGCAGCGTTTTGTGCGCCTCTTCGCGTATGGCGGCTCAACCTTGATTCTGGCATCGTATCTGTCGGCCTTGGGGATTTCAGATGACCGCATTGGCTTATTTATGACTCTCACACTGATTGGAGATGTGGTGATCAGCTTCTTCCTCACTCTATTTGCTGATTCTATGGGTCGCAAGGCGGTATTGTCGCTCGGGTCAATCCTGATGGCTGGCAGCGGAGTTCTTTTCGCGCTGTTCGGAAATTTTTGGATTTTACTGACGGCTGCAGTCTTTGGTGTCATAAGTCCCAGGTTCGTTTTTTTTTCCCTTGCTTCTGTTTGTTCTTTAATCCAAGCTAATTTTTCTGAGTGGAAATGAGATTGGTCCGTTCCGCGCCGTGGAGGAATCCACTTTAGCTCATCTCACACCACATGAGCTTCTGAGCGATGTTTTTGCCTGGTATTCCTTGATTGGGACTGCTGGATCGGCCACAGGCATGCTTGTCTGTGGTTGGATCATAAATTCTCTTGAGTCAAACCATGGATGGGATTTCATTCCTGCTTGTCGCATCATATTCTTCGTATATGCCGGCGTTGGTGTTGTTAAGCTGATCTTCGCCCTGGGTCTGAGCGGCAAAGTCGAGGTCCAGAAAGAAGAGCCACAGGAACAGGGCTCTGAAACCCGTCCGTTGCTGGCAGAACCAGTCGACCAGGGCGTGGAGCCATCCGCAAAGAAGAAGGGGCTATTTCCGTCGATCGAGAAGGACCTGTGGTCGCTGGTTATTCGTCTCTTCATCTTATTCGGAGTGGACTCGTTTGCATCTGGATTGGCTTCATTGTGAGTGTAATCCCAAATTTTCTTGGCTTCAAAGCTAATGCCTTTAAGGTCTTGGATGACCTACTTCTTCAAGGGCAAGTTCAATCTGCCTGAAGGTGAACTCGGTACTATCTTCTTCACCACAAACATCATCTCCGCGGTATCCATGTTGGTCGCTTCGTCCCTTGCCAAACGAATTGGCAATGTCAAGGTAAATTGTTCTTCCTACTCGGTCCGCTGAGCGAGTTCTAACTTTCTGATAGACTATGGTCTTCACTCATTTGCCGTCGGCAATCTGTCTGGCCCTCATCTCCGTCCCATCTAGCCTGCCTCTGGCATTGACCTTCTTGGTTCTGAGAGCCTGCTCCCAGAACATGGATGTGGCGCCTCGCTCCGCATTCCTTGCTGTGGCTCTACCGGCAGACAAGCGCACTGCTATTATGGGCGCGGTAAATGTTGTGAAGACTACCGCCCAAAGTATGGGTCCCCTGTTGACAGGTATTTTGTCGCGCAACGGTCATTTCGGTGTTTCTTTCATTGTTGCAGGATGCTTAAAGGTGACCTATGATCTTGGCATGTTGTTCAGTTTTGCCGGTAAAGAGGCTGCTCGTCGGAAGCAGGTAGCTCAAGAGGCCGAAGAAGAGACAAGTTAGAATATTAACTTGGGAATCATGATGCACCACTCCAAGTTGTGTTCGTACTGAAAGGAAAATCGCATACATACAGAGATCCCACTTCGATGCTCTCTTAAAAAGCGGATCTGGCAAATGGAAATTCTTCAGAAATGACATTGGACTTTGAATTGATTTAGTATACACAAACGATTCCATTTCATCAAACATAAAACAATAGCGCTGATCAAATATCCACTAAAACGACTCTAAACAAAACGAACATCCCTGTTTCGCAAATTAGACATGTGCCGACGTGATAGCACTGTGTGATTTCCCCGGGCAGTGCCATTATTATGCAGCGCTACATCCAAGCGGGTATCGTTGTCGTGATGTTTGCCAGAGACGATATACGAAGTCTCATTATTCAACAACTCCATCATCTGATGAACGATCCGGTCGCTCTCCCCATGACCAGCATTATTGACCTGACCCTCCTGCACGGGCTCACGCTGGTTCTGCGGAACCTGGGTCGAACCCCAAGAATCCGAGTTCGACCCAGGAGTCTGGATATTATTGATATTCTCCACGAAAGTCTGTTTCTCCACACGTACAGGCACATCGGGCTGGACAGTAGGCGTGATCTGCTTGGTATTTGCTTCCTTGTTCTGCTTTGTTGGGATGTCCTGGCTGTGGAGAGGGCTATCGCTGTCACAAACAAGATTCACCCAGACCTGGCTATAAGCGACTAACTGGCGTGGCTCGCACTGGCTGATTTCCACGCCATTTCGTATCTCTTTGTTGATGAGGGGTGGGTCGATGCAACCCGGGACCTCGTGTACGGTAATGTTGCAGCCACTACCGCCTTCTGAGAAGGGGAGGTCGTGGTTGTGGAAGAGAAGCTCTGCATCGACGGAGATGGCGCTGACGAGGTTGTGCTCGTAGGAGGGGACGGCGAAGTTTTTGCAACTGTCGACGGTGATGTCTTGGGATGGGGTGGATTCTTGGTAGTTTTCATATGTGTCGAGTTTGCTGAATGCTTCTCCGGGGCAGTTTGGGTAGAAGTGTGTCCAGACACGAGCGAAACTTTGGGCATGGGATGTGCTTGATAGCAGGGATAAGGAGATGAGTGACCTGGTGAGCGAATGCATGGTTGATGGACTTTGATTCCCGTGGGCTTGGAAAGTTTGTGATAATTGAATTGTGTTCTGGCGACAGGTAAACAAATTAGGATGCTCATCTACTACTAGCATTTAAATAGAGACCCTATCGTCTTGATCATTCCAATATTTGCTGTACTGCGGTAATGGGATGGCGGGGAAGAATGACTGGAATGACTGTGACGCTACAAGTGAAACGCGTCTAATGGAACCTCTGCATCATAATTAGGGGCTGGCAAGTGTCCTTTAATCTAACCTTCTCTCAATCGGCTGTCTGGTCGCACATTCCAGTCCCAAAAGGCTCATTTGATGTCGATCTAAGATCATGCGTGGTATGTGGAAGTCCCCTATACATTCCAATGAATGGCTAATCCCTCTAGAAAGGCTGGCAAATGCTGGCAAACCAATGAACAATCTCCTTCTACTCGCCCATTATGCAAAAAGAAATGGCAATGTCAAAATGATTGGTGACAGTAGTGCGTGAGGTTGGCCGGTGATCATTCCGCGAGAATCTTATTGGTGACAACTTCACTTGACAGCCTCTTAATGCTACTAGGTTAAACGCTGACTGTGTCATTAACTTATAAAAAAGCTCTTATCGTTGTGAAAGATGAACTAATTTGGGTCTATAGACCCTTTACACACTCTACAAATGTGACCATCACTGAAGGAGGCCTCTCGCTAGACCTCCGAAAAGACCAAAATCCAAGTTGATTTACACACCCAGCTTAAAACCCCCAGTTGAGGTTAAAGAGAACTCCAGAAGAATCATAGTAAAGGTCAACCTCGGTGTTGCTCTTCACATTTATGGGGTTCGGATTCGAAACCCCATTAATGTTAATAGAAATAGATCTATGGTGTAACTATACTATGCAATTTTCTAGTATTGTATGGTTCTATTAGCGGCGATTTGTAAGTTTCTGCATGGCAGAAACTCCATTGTCAAATTTGGTCCAAATCGGCTGCCGTACATAGCTCTGTTTTATCATCTATTGTACGTTGTTATAGGAATTCTTTGATGTCTTTTTAGATGTCTTTCTAGATGTAGGCGAAGGCGGTAGAGATTGTGCAAGAGATCTTTTTAAATATAACCTTTGATTGCTCTACCAAATCCTCTATCCCTGCTACTCACGTTGCTCAAATTGCAGCTTATTTGTGTTAAAATTGCTTCTTATGCCGAAGAGAAAAGCCCATCTGTCGAGCCTTGTTGACCATAAACATTTGTTTTCGTGTGTATTCTGATAGGTACAGCTAGTGACAAGTAATGTCGACTGAGTCAATCTATAAGTCCACTTACAGTTCCCATGCATGCCGACTCAAGATTTGCTTCACTTCTTCTCAACAGGATGTTTCTGCAAACTCTCATACCACTGGATCATAGATCCTATCGTGAAGGCTATCGAGCCCCAAAATGTAGCGAGTGATGATTCATAATTCACGCCAGAGTGACTACTCGCTGGCCCTAGTGCAGCACAAAGAGTAAATCCAACACTGCCAATTAAATTCCAGAGTCCAATGTGCCAGCCCAGAACATGCCAAGCAGGAAGGTACCACTTTGACTGTGTCTCAAGCATGGACAAAAGTGAACTCAGAGTGAATCCCACCCCACCAAGAGTCGTGGTACCCCAGTAGAGGCCATAAATGAGCCCCTTACTCATGTGGTTAAAGATACAAGGAATGCCAACAATTGCACCAACCCAGAAGATCGTTGCACTTACAAACAAGATAAAAGAAGATAAAAAGCCAATTTCATGAAAGAAATGCGTGCGCAATTCCGACATCGACGGAATCCATCGGAATAACCTACCATCTGTCGATGAAGTGACAAAACCAGTTTTATCCCGCTGAGAGTGGGCGTTGTCACTGGCATGATAGTGATTTTCCCGGAGAAACGACTTCCGGTTCGCATGATGATGCTCACATTTCGAGGCCACCGGCCTGAGCTCATTCACCGCACGATGAGAAATCCCATCCTCGATAGTCTTCTCGAGAACGCTCTCAAGTGCCCAGCCAAAACATCCAGTATGATTGGTGTTGAAAGCTTCAAGAAGCAGCAAGACACCCCCGACTTCAAATATAGTTGCGCCGACGAAAGCCGTCCAACCGCCCGCAACGGTAATTTCACCATGAAACTCGGTCCTCTTGTTCACAAGTGGTAACCACACGAAGAACCCATTGACAATGAAGACCGCGGATCCGACAGTGAAGCTCATGGCGACTAGATATGACACGTCCCAATAAGGGACGTAGGTCACCATCTGGAGAAAGATCTGGACCACTGCTGGAATGGATCGCGTCAGTCGCGGTGCTTTCAATCCCATTTCAAGGGGTAAGGCCTCTGTATCGACGCGAACCGCATGTCGGCCCTTCCTGTTGTCGCGTGATCGCCATAGACGCTCGATTCGTGGGAATGCATGAGTGTTTTCTCGCTGTTGGGTTGGTTCGTAGAGTGCAGAAGTGGGATTTAGGAAGGGGACTGGGCCAGTGACATGCGTCTCGTCAAGTTTGAAGCCATGATGACCTAGAGGCTTACGACCGGTCTGGAAGTGTGAACGCCGCCGCATCTTTTTGGCCAGGGCGAGCCGAGGTGGGATTGCGTAGAGATGCGTCTTTGAGTTGCTAGGAACACATTTCGGGGATAACTTGACGCATAAAATTTTGGATTTTGTCGATAATTTCCCTTGAATCAATCGCGGAAGTGCATATCCTACATGAAGAGGTCGACGTCAGCACTATATAGATGTGCGGTAACTGAAAAGCGGCTTGCCTCGACCCCCAAAGTGGAAGCACCGGATCTTCCCCAAGGTTGCTTTATACGATAAGTTGGTAGTTGACTGATTTTTGTGTACATGCCCAGGGGTGTGAGAGTGTCATTGGTCTGACATTTACCATAACCTTGGAACCGGCCTATGCTTATCCCACACCGGAATATGGTTTCGCCGGCAATTTGATGCCGAAGTTTACTATCGTGGAGCTTCAAGGTTCAACTCAATTATTGCAATATCTGTCCGAACATACATATCGCATTCATTATCATTTCAACAATAGTGACAACCATTAATGCTAAACAGAAGAGATTGACATGCATAAAACCGCTTGTAATCATAAAACAGCCACCTAAAAAATCGAAAGGATTTTCCCAACTCAATTTATCAATCGTCGATTTGATATCCCTTAGAGACAGACCAAGGGCCATGGGCGTTTATTCGTGGTTATCTCGAAAAAGAGAAGTATATGCGGGAATTCAGGTCTGTCTAGACCCGTTCCCAGCACTGTCATCTACCCCATCCTCGACATGGGCAGCCCGATTGCCAGGTTCAGACCTAGTTTTGACACTAAACTCTGTTTCTGTATCAGCGCCGTCATTATCATCATGCTCATCGGCGTCCTCGGCTTCTCGTTGCAGACTTGCAGGCTTGGTTTTCTGAACCGCCTTGCCTTTATTCCGACTCCTGTCAGGCAACAACTGTTCCGCCTCACGCTTCAAGTCAGCACCAGACTCATCGCCGGCCTGCGGCATGCGGGAGCTCTGATTTATGCTCCTTCTAGCGCGAGCACGCGCACGACGTATCATCTTGTTATGGTAGTCTTCCTGTTCAAGCTCTGTATCCTCATGGAGGATGCGACGAGCTGCTTCACGTCCAACAACGGGCAGTCGGTCGACGCCATGGACTCCGTCTGGCAGCAGCTTGGGATCCAGAAGACCAATTTGAACGAGAACGCTAGCCTGGTCCCAGTATACGTGCTCGGAGTAAAGACGCCCGGCGCGTACACTGACAATGCTCACGAGGATGACCTCAACTCGCTTGTTTGTCGGTGGGACACCCGGTAGCATCCATGGAACCTCCTGTGTGTGCTCATAGCTCACATATAGCTCATCTACAATGCGATCGGTTCCTGTGGTACGCGATAGCAGTCGGAGGCGCATGGACGGGGGCAGTTTGTCTATGAAGTAGTGTTCATAGAAATGACGCAAGCCATTTTTGCCGATCCCACCGCTGATTGTCGGCGTGTAAGTGACACCAGGGGTTTTGTGTTGGACGTAGCCATCCATAGTTTTCCTGACGTTCGGCGAAAAAAAATTTGCCTAACAAAGCATTAGCCTGCCATCGCTCTATTGCTTTGATTGTTTTGCATCTGAAACTTACCCTCCACGTGCTGCTCGTATCGCTGCTCGTAATCCGGATCTCTGGAATACCCCTTCCGCAGAACCTTCAAAGTCCGCGACCAAGCTAGCTCCGCCGATAGACGATCGTATTCCTCTAGGTCCGTCTCCGCAAACCCGGGCATGGCATTACCATAGGTAAACGCCGGGTACGCCAGGTCCAAACGCTCCCCAGTCCCGATACCTGTGTTGATTGGCCGCGTCTGGCGGCGCTTTTTCCCCTGCAAGCCTAGTGCGACGGGCTGAACAAGTACATCGACAGTCTCGCCTGCCAAGTGCACGAGGACATGGAGCGAGAGAGGGAAACGCGATCGCGTATCAGGGATCAAGCTGGGGTAATAGGCAACCAGTGCACAGAGTCGACTGGCATTGACGGAATTGATATAATAATCGAGACAGTAGTCTGCAGCGTCGCCATAAGCTTGAAATTAGGTTGTTTATTTTGCCATTCGGAGTTGATGGAATTTAGTAACAGTCTCTTGTCCTGTACATACCAATCACGGCGTAGTTTTCGCCTACACCAAGCCCATCCTTAACAGACTGTAACCGGCGAGCGTAGTCTTTTCCTCCGCCGTTATAAGGGAGGTATAGGACGTCGAATCCTTCCTCCTGCCAATTTCTTATGGTCTCCATGTCGAAGTCTTCGGTCTCAGCTGTGACACATAGGCGCGCGTTATTGTTGCCATTATTGTAAAGGAACCCACCACTGTTCAGGCCAGGGGCACTAATTGATATGTTGGCCATTGTGCTGTTTTGGTTTTCCTTTGTGGGTTTCAAACGCATGTGGTGCATTGGTTGTTGTCGTTGCAAATAGGTTTCCTGCAAATTATCCGTGTTTGGAACTTTGAACTTCAAACAAAGAGCATTCTATGCCAAAAATCCAATTGACAATACATGCAGAGCAGGTAAAACGAGATTGGTCGTAGTTGACATTTAACGGGTTCCCCAGGACTACGTCATTGGCATCGGGCTCCCATACGTCATACCCAAGATGGGTGGAACATGGCATTTGTACATTAACTCTTGGCATCTAGGACGAACTTGATTTGTTATATTTCTACATCTTCACTCTTCTCTCTGATCTTTCAGATCCTTCTGTTGGTTTAAAAGCTGCATTCCAAGCATCATTCTTTGATTTTGCATTGTGAAGGCCAGCGTTTCTTGTGTAAATTCACAAATGCGTGCCCTGTCCCTGAATACATGACCCATGGAACCATAAAAATCGTAGTGGCTTGATATATGAGTAAGCGACCTCGAAGTCTGAGCGGAGGACATTCGCACTTCATGTGGATCGCCTCTCGACAAATCAGAGATGGCTATATTTGCCATTAGAATCTACTGCTTCCCAACGGGTAGTGAATGTGGCCTATAGCCCATACTTTGTAGCAAAATCTCAGTATTGTCATAAAAATTCCCACGAAAAATGCAAATAACAAATATCGAAATGATTCGTAGCAACGTGCGAAAAAGAGAGCAAAGCTTTAGAATACTACCCATGTTGCTAGGCAAGCTGATTCTCATCGAGCACCCAGGAAAGCGCGTCTCTCAGCCATTCCTTAAAAGTCAGAGCCAGGCTCCGTCGATAATTCCACCCCCTCCGTGTTCTTCCAACAAGATATCAGCAGCAGAATATCCGCACTGTTCCTGAGGCTGTCGCCCGCCGAATATTGTTGCCAGCTACACAGTATCAGAGGCAAATAGGGATACGGTTCTCGAGCAGGATAAATATCGTGGCATTGAAACCACCTCGGTGCTGTAGCGTCAAAGGCACCCTCGAAAATCCACGTCTTGAGGCAGGAATCGTCTGTCATGGCTACTTAAGAAAGAGTGCTGTTTGGAATGGCTGTATTAGATGGCCAAGAGATCTGTGTAGATCTGTGTAGATACTAGAATGTTAGTGCATGGGCCAGGGGTTAGACGTACGATACTTTGCCAGAGTGTGTGCTATGGAGTATAAAGTAGCCAATCCGTACATAGCATTATCTATGATCGCCGAGTTGAGCTATGGATGCCATAACTTCAATTCAACTCGCAAGATACGATTTTAGGCCACATTAATTGTGATAGGATGAAATTGGGCCATAGGAGGAAAAAGCTTTCGACCTAACGAGTGGCGGCAATTCAGGCGAGGCCGGGCGAATCAGAGCGGGAAACTAGCATCTAGCTTGTTTTGAACCTGGGCCGTTTTGTTGAGCATCTGAATGTACATTGCTTTGACAACAGCTGATGTCTCCGCACTTCCGGTTGGCACGATCTTAGATCGATGTGGATCACGTATCTGCTGGTTCATTGCCTGCCTGCTGCTTGCTATCGGCGGTGTCATTATGTCCTTTGCATTCCATGAGCCCGGCTTCGACGGCTATATCCCGGGGGATTCCTTCCTCGCCCCGGCTGGCACCTTCTTACTTGTTCCTTCGTTCCAGATCGCGAATGCGTTTCCTAGATATGCGGGGTCGATTGTCGCGCTGGTGACTGGTGAATTCGATGCTTCTGCTGCTGTGTTACTCTTCCAATGGCCGTTATATGAGGCGTCCGCGGATCGCCAGCAGACGAGCTCGGGTTAGGGTGTAATGCACGGCCTACCATCGTACAGGTAGATGGCTACACCCTGGTTAATCCTGATTGCGCTGATGACTGTTCTGCTGATGATTCGCATGAACTACTTTATCACAACGATTCGCTCGCAGTATGAATACATGCTCAGATCGATCGAGGAGGCAGATAGAACAGGTGCCTTCTTCAACGTTGCACTGCCGGTACGAGGTTTTCTCTTAACGCCCGTGATTGGGTACCTACTTGATCGTCTTAGTGTGCCAATGATGCTTGGGCTGATTGTGCTTTTCATCACGGTCATTGGTGTGCTGAAATCCATCCCGGCATTTTGGGCTGATTGTATGACCTTTCTACTCTTCGTCTTACTCCAGTCTCTCTATTACTCAGCCATGTCGTACGTTCTCTTTTCCCACTCACCACTACGTTCTACTTGCTCAACTTGGCTGTAGTAATTATACTACCAAATTCTTTGGCGTTACCACGTTTGGTCGTGTGTATGGTGCCATCGTCTGTCTCTCGAAAATACCAGATATCTCTCAGCATGGGCTTGACGCATTGACGCATCGCATCAAACATTTAATGAGAACCCAATTCCAATCCATGCTGCCTTTGCAGTAGCAGGATTAGTTAATAGAACAGCGCTTGTGATCTTTGTTTTCGTGTCGGTGAGAAAGCTGAGACAACAGGATCGAATGGATGGGGTAGAGCGCGATGGGCTTCTTTTGGGAGCAGACGAAGAAGAGGACGAATAGGATGAAAGTTACCGTCGATCGGGTTAGCAGATTTATGAAATTGAACTGATTGAACCTGAGATTGGGATTCGGTTTCGAACTTTCTAACCTCTTCAACACTTTCCATCTCTTTAAATGTCACCTTTGAGACATATACGGCAACGATGTCTATCTAGTGGCACCAGGGTTATACCAGCACTAGCTCAGGATTATCAAGGCTTTTCTACTTGGAAAATTACACTTTTGGCATTTCCGATCACGATCTAAGATTCGACGCATCAAGAGACATGGAATGTCAAAGTTCCCTTGTAAACTCATAGCTGACTCTTTGTCGGAACTCTCCCCAGATGACACTTCCTCAACCACCCGATGACAAGTCGATGTCTCCGCTTCCTGGGAGTGTTCATTACTGTTGCCGGTTCTAATACTAATATTCCAGCTTGCATGGCATCCCAGGCGAAAAATTTGAGTGGTTAGTGAACGCGTGCTGTGTCCAGTGCTACCCTTGTAGGCTTCGGAGGTCTCGGTAGTATCGTGAGTAGCTTGGTGTTCCGGGAACAGGATGCACTGGGTACCGACCGGCAATGTATGCCGCTATCGCGTAGGTCTTCCTGTGTCTCCAATTGTGCTTGTGCACTAATTGGTTCACCAAAGATTCTGATCATCTCGATGTTTCTTGCTTTGAGTCTGTGGTTCCAGATCTGCAAAAAGTAGGCGGACCGGGGAAAGCGGATCGGTGACCAAGGGCGATGCGACCTTCCGTTATACGAATTGGAGTCGGGAAAACATTCATGCCTTAGATGGGATCAACAAAGTAACGCGAAGGCAGGTATTTTCCTTTCTACAATGCTTTTCTAAATAACCCGCTTAAACTGAAGCTCAAGGAAAGCTATGAGACTACCGGGGCCTTTCCCCTTGAGGAATTTGTGTAGTAGATGTACAGCAATTTTCCCGACGGAAAACCGGCCGTCTGCTCCGTATGGAAGGCGGTCAACAGCCGAGCTGGGGCTGCTGGCAGATTGTCGCAGCTATGATTGGTCGGATAAGAGAGGTTCCATATAATTCCTTATCGCCATTTTAAGTTTCCCGACAGGTTCTCCGTCATCGGACAATCGGACAGGAAAAAGGCATGAAGCGTGGGCAATAAATATTATTTTTCTACAGTTCGGGCACTTTTGTCTTCTTCATTCTCCTAACTCATTGATTTACTGACTTACTTGTGGATGTGTTGAGTGCTTTCCATAAAAGCCCTCATTATCCTCCGGTCTCAGTATGGCGGCATCACTGTTTGCCCTTCGCGGCGGCCGCCAGCTTGCTCTGCGGTCGCGTGTTCGCGTGCCCACAATTGCCCGAGCTTCATTTTCACCATTGAATACTCGGAGAGCATTGAACACCTCGCAGCCTGTGACCCGTCGTGGGGTCTATACTAGCTCTGTCTCCGACCATGGAGATCCCCACCCCCAGGATATCTTCCAGCCTCTCGATACCTTCCCCCGCCGCCACATTGGCCCCTCTCCGGACGCCGCAGCAGAAATGCTTGCCATGCTCGACCCGCCAGTGGCATCCTTAGATGACTTCGTGAAGCAGGTCTTGCCCGAGGACATTCTCTCCAAGAAGGACCTTAAAGTCTCCGAGCCCCACGCCGATATCAGCCTGTACCGCTCCAGTGTGCAGGGTGGCTTGGGTGAAACTGATATGCTCAAGCTGCTGGACACCTACCGGAAGCAGATTGATATCTCCGGTAAGACTTACATCGGAACCGGCTACTACCCCACTATTGTGCCCCCCGTCATCCAGCGCAATGTTCTCGAGAACCCTGCCTGGTACACCAGCTATACACCCTACCAGCCCGAGATCAGCCAGGGCCGTCTGGAGTCTTTGCTGAACTTTCAGACCCTGACAGCTGATCTGACTGGTCTGCCTTTCGCCAATGCCTCGGTTCTGGACGAGGCTACCGCCGCCGCCGAGGCCATGACCATGTCATTCGCCACTATGCCCACTTCCAAGCAGAAGAAGGCCGATAAGTCCTTCGTTGTGTCACACCTCTGCCACCCCCAGACTATTGCGGTGATGCGGTCCCGCGCCGAGGGATTCGGAATCAACCTCGTGATCGGAGATATTTTGGCTGATGACTTCAAGATTGTGAAGGACCAGAAAGATCACCTGATCGGGGTCCTTGCCCAGTACCCCGATACCGAGGGAGGTATCTACGACTTCCAGGCTCTGAGTGACTCGATCCACGGCCAGGGTGGTACATTCAGCGTGGCCACTGACCTGCTGGCCTTGACCGTTTTGAAGGCACCCGGCGAGTTTGGCGCTGATATTGCCTTTGGAAGTGCCCAGCGTCTGGGTGTTCCGATGGGCTTCGGCGGTCCCCACGCTGCATTCTTCGCTTGTGCAGACAAGTATAAGCGCAAGGTCCCTGGTCGTGTCGTTGGTGTGTCCAAGGACCGCCTCGGAAACCGGGCTCTGCGTCTGGCTCTGCAGACTCGCGAGCAACACATTCGCCGCGAGAAGGCTACCAGCAACATTTGCACTGCTCAGGCTCTGCTTGCCAACATGACTGCCATGTATGCTATCTACCACGGCCCTGTTGGCCTCAAGTCAATTGCTCAGCGTATCATGTCCATGACTTCACTACTGCGCGAGAAGCTTGTCAGCATGGGCTATGATGTCCCAGTCCGCTCGAACAGCATTGACGGTGGCGTTTTGTTTGATACTCTGGCTATTGAACTGTCAAGTGCCGCGGAGGCTGATGCCATCATGGCCGAGGCTCGCGCTGCCTCTGTTTTCCTCCGCCGTCTTGGCGGAAACAAGGTGGGTCTCTCCCTGGACGAGACTGTTGGCCGGGATGAGGTGAAGGGCATTCTAAATGTGTTTGCCGCTCACAAGTCTGTCTCTCTTGTCGAGGTTGATGGCACTCTTGGGCTCACTACTGTCCCCGCCAGCCTGGAGCGTACCTCCTCTTACCTGACTCACCCTGTCTTTAACACTTACCACTCCGAAACTGAGATGCTCCGGTACATCCACCACCTTGAATCAAAGGATCTGTCCCTGGCTCACTCTATGATTCCCCTCGGATCTTGCACCATGAAGCTCAACGCTACCACGGAAATGATCCCTATTTCCTGGCCGGAGTTCTCCCAGATTCACCCCTTTATGCCTGCCGAGAATGCTAAGGGCTACACAAAGATGATTGACGATCTGGAGCAGCAGCTGGCCGATATCACTGGCATGGCAGAGGTTACTGTGCAGCCCAACTCGGGTGCCCAGGGTGAGTTCGCCGGCCTTCGTGTCATCAAGAAGTACTTTGAGGCGAAGGGTGATGCCAAGCGCAACCTGTGCTTGATCCCTGTCTCTGCTCACGGTACCAATCCGGCTAGTGCTGCCATGGCTGGTATGCGTGTTGTGACTGTTAAGTGTGACACCAAGACGGGTAATCTCGACCTGGAGGACCTCAAGGCCAAGTGCGAAAAGCACAAGGACGAGTTGGCCGCGTTCATGATTACCTACCCCAGCACATTCGGTGTGTTTGAGCCCGGTGCCAAGGAAGCCTGCCGCCTGGTGCACCAGCACGGTGGCCAGGTCTACATGGACGGTGCTAACATGAACGCCCAAATCGGTCTCTGCTCTCCGGGCGAGATTGGTGCCGACGTGTGCCACCTGAACCTCCACAAGACCTTCTGTATCCCCCACGGTGGCGGTGGTCCCGGTGTCGGACCCATTGGTGTCGGCGAACACCTGCGTCCCTTCTTGCCCTCGCATCCTACCAGTGAATACCTGCAGTCGAAGCGTGGCGATACCTCCTCCCCTCCCATCTCCGCTGCTCCCTGGGGCAGTGCTAGTATCTTGCCTATCACCTTTAACTATATCAACATGATGGGCGACCGCGGTCTGACCCACGCTACCAAAATCACTCTTCTCAACGCAAACTACATCCTCTCCCGTTTGAAGCCCTACTACTCGATCCTGTACACCAACGACCACGGCCGCTGCGCACACGAGTTCATCATTGACTTGCGCTCCTTCAAGGAAACCTGCGGTGTCGAGGCCATCGATGTCGCCAAGCGTCTTCAGGACTACGGCTTCCACGCCCCGACCATGTCCTGGCCCGTCTCCAACACTCTCATGATCGAGCCCACCGAGTCTGAGAACAAGGCCGAGCTCGACCGCTTCTGCGATGCCTTGATCTCCATCCGCCAGGAGATCAGCGAGGTCGAGTCAGGTGCCCAGCCTCGCGAGGGTAATGTGCTGAAGATGTCCCCTCACACGCAGCGCGACCTGCTTGTCTCTGAGTGGGATCGTCCTTACACTCGCGAGCAGGCTGCTTACCCGTTGCCTTTGCTTTTGGAAAAGAAATTTTGGCCTACCGTGACTCGTGTCGATGACGCCTTTGGTGATCAGAACTTGTTCTGCACTTGCGGGCCTGTTGAGGATAGCGAATAGAGACAGATCTATCGAGATCTATGATACCCATGCTGCGCTGATTGCTTTTTGTTATTTTCTTTGGGGGCTCAGTCTTCTAGTGCCCGCCTCTTCTCTCTGTATACATTCAACATTTCCTATTTTTGATGACGGTGGAAAAAGACTATCTGCAGACTACGTCCTTACGCGGGCGAGATTGATTCAACATGATCATCCAGTATTCATGGATACCAAGCATAATACAATTCAAAGAATCAAGAGTTTTCTAGACGTTCAAGTCTTTTCCAGTTCGAGACTACATCTAAAAAGTGAAATAGCAAGAACTAACAATCGAAATCGACACTGGCTTCTTGTGTATATACTGGACTGTACTTGCGGCTTTCGAAGGCCTTATCGGGGCTCTGTTACCTTACAAAACTGTCCTGTGCTAAATTACCCTATCGAAATTCAACTCACCCGCTCCAAATACTGTATCCCACCTGTATTACCATCGGAGACGGCCGACCCCGCCCCCCATTATGGCCCTAATCATCCAGCCAACCCGCTTCAATCCACTCTACTCTATCAATTCAGGTCTCAAATGTCCCGAAGAAACTCTGAAGGACATTCGAATCAAGCAGGAACAAGCTTGAAATTCTCTACTGTACGGACCCCACTGTTTAATAGGCAATAGTTCCTATCTATGCCTCTCGCTTGGCAACAAGTAGTGAGCAGAATCAACGAGAAGACAGATATATGAATGTGTCTGACCTTCTTTTCTCCTCTGGTTGATTTTGAGTTAATACTTCGATCTTTTTCTTTCCACTGTGGAGGCTGACATACATTTGTCGTCTATAAATATCCGCCGATTCTTCTGATCTAGTTGCTTTCTAGAGAGTGGCGCATGCACTGCAGACATTCATCCTCAACTTTATCCTATCTACATCAATCATTGGCCCCTTTTTAATTTTCTTGCCGGAAAGATGGGCTCTATTACCAGTGACATGGGCTCGCCAACGGATTATGCGTTTACTGTCTACCGCGGCACATTCATTCAATCAATTCTGCCAGACTCGGGGTCCAAACCTGAATTATCTCGCAACCAAGGCGCATTATGGGTCTGCGCTGTCGATGGCCGGATTCGAGGTTGGGACTGGCATGGCAATGATGAGATTGCGTTCGCTGAATTGATGAGTCGGAGTGGGTGGGTAGATATCGATACCATTGAGGCCCAGGGGCAAGTCAGTGGTCATGGTTCGAACATCAAAGTAAGGATTGTTACCGCAAACGAGGAAAAAAACGAGTTCTTCTTCCCCGGTTTTATTGGTATGCATTAAATTCCAAAGTCCAACCAAGTCCCAGAGCCCAAGTATCGATACGAACTGAACATCAACCCAGACACCCACATCCATGCCCCGCAATACCCAAACGCGGGCCTTTTTGGCTCATCAACGCTTCTAGACTGGTTAGAGACCTACACATTCCCAGTAGAGTCACGGTTCGGGTCCGCACCAGACCCAAGAACAGGCCACCAAACCAAAACCGATCCCCAAGAAACACCCCTCTTAGCCCAGAAAATCTACGACCAAGTCATCTCTCGCACTCTATCCCACGGCACAACTTGCGCCTCATACTACGCAACAAACCACATCCCAGCAACCAACGCCCTCTCATCCCTCTGCCACACCCGCGGCCAACGCGCCTTCGTCGGCCGCGCATGCATGGATAATACAGACTTCTGCGTAGACTACTACCGCGACTTCAGCGCCGATGACTCCGTCGTCGCAACTCGCCAGACAATCGAGTATATCCACACCCTGGACCCAGAAGGAAAGCTCGTGAAGCCGATCATCACACCGCGCTTTGCGCCCTCATGCACGAGACCCGCACTACAGAGCCTGGGCGAACTGGCAGCAAGCTATTCACCCCCACTGCATATCCAGACACATATCTCGGAGAACATGAGCGAGCTCGCGCTCGTTAAAGAGCTCTTCCCCGAGGCAGACAGTTACGCCGCTGTTTATGATAAATACAACCTGCTGACGCCGCGCACGATCCTCGCGCATGCGGTGCATCTATCGGCGGATGAGCGCGCTCTGATCCGCGCACGCGAGGCGAAGATCTCCCACTGTCCGGCGTCGAACTCGGCGCTGGGGTCCGGGATTTGTCCTGTAAGGACGCTGCTCGATGAGGGGATTACGGTTGGGCTTGGAACAGATGTTAGTGGAGGGTATAGTCCTAGTATTCTTGAGGCGGCGCGACAGGCTTGTCTTGCTTCGCGGTTATTGGGTCAATCGGCTGCGTGGCAGAGGGATCATATGAAAGGTGTGAATGGGGGTGGGTCGGATGGATGGGAGAAATTATCTGCTGAGGAAAGTCTTTATCTTGCTACGCGTGGTGGAGCGGCAGTCGTTGATATGGCAAGTGATCTCGGGGGGTTTGACATGGGGATGTTGTGGGATGTGCAGTTGATTCGGCTTGGCGGGGTCAAGTTGACAGGGAAGAGCCCGTTAGATGGTGTTCCTGGTGATGGGAGTGCGGATCTTGTCAAGAATGGTCCTGTGGGGAATGTTGATCTGTTTGGGACGGAGAGTTGGGAGGAGAAGATTCAGAAATGGCTTTGGGGTGGCGATGATCGGAATGTGAAGGCTGTCTGGGTTGGGGGGAGATTGGTCCATTCAAGGGCTTGAGTGGTAGACTACGATCTTCTTTGGATTTTTTTTTTAAGAATTAGATTTCCTATCAACACGTGATACTTCTTAAATTCTAGTCTATTATTATGACATCTAGTTACTATTCGGCGTTTATACTTGGCCTTTTAAGGGTATAGATACTATAGGAAGTTTTCAGGCAAGAGACGATGATTTGCATTCTGGTTATCTCGAAAAGGGTAAAAAAAAGAGACTAATCTTTAAATCTCAACTGTAGGCCTGAAGCATTTACTGGAAGAGCTCTACGCAATCAAAGATCTATTAGGATAGTTAGGCTTCCATTAAAAAGACGAGATGATCAGAAAAGCACTCACAAAGTTTGGACTCAAGTAAGTATCTCCAGAGCTACCAGAAGCAACGCTGATGGTGATCTAAGCCGTATTAACACCATATCATCTGAATAAGCTCAAAATCCCTTACAGTGTTAGACCCAGCGACGATAGTTCCTGCCGGGATCGAGATGTCGTAAACCTCGCCAAATCCTCTATACGCGCCGCGAGTCACGCCACGGGACTTGAGGTTAGTTGGAGCAGAAGGAATGGGACCAGAATAGCTGTTGACCTATCTAAAGTGTCAGATACATGCCAAGGCGTTGAAGTTGGAGAATATGGCTTAAACAAACGTTAACCTGAGGCCGCCCAGAAGCAAATGAAAGTGTTGTGCCAATTCTCAGAGTTGAAGCTCCGGTTTGCGAAGAGGATGCTGTGAACTTGATTATCATAGGTGAATTCGCCGATTTGAAGAGAGCCATGGGGAAATCAGAAACTAGAGAGGTGCCGACTGTATAGGTGCCCGGGGACCAAGAAGACATGCGGGTGTCGGAGGGATGCATGCGGAGCTGGTAGGCTGCATTTCGGAAGCCGTTTGGTCTGTAAGGCAGTCAATATCATAGAGGTTATGCGGATTAAAATCAATAAACCTACGTTCCATCCCAGTCTCCAATCTTGAAGACTGTTGTTCCGGTTTTCACAGACCCGGATATGCTCTTCGACGTGGTTGATCCGGCAGTAACAGTCACAGAAGAGGTAGCAACGACATATTCGCCCTGATAGTAGATCATAGTGTAGGTGCCGGGCTTCATGGCAGGGGAGGTGAAAACTCCGGAAGACGAAGTGTAGGTCCAGTACTGTGCGACGTCGTTTTTCCTATCCTGAATTAGATTATGGACACATCACGGTATGAGCTGTATTGAACCTACCAGTGAATCACCCATTTGAAAGTCGAGTCAGCCCCAGATGCAGTACCGTTAACATAGCCTCGAGCAGATGTGGCGACGTATCCTTTGATATCGAGATCGGCAAAGAACGATGTGTCAAGGGTGGAACTGGGGGTTCCGTTCAGGCTGAAGGTCATCGAGTACGGGCCATGCAGGCCCTGGCGGTAGCTCTCAGTCTGAACATGTCCGGAGTTCTTTACAAAGTAAGAAGCCGTTCTTAGGTGAGCTACAGTGGTCACATACCATATACCAGTATAGGCCAGTGTAAGAGCCGACATTGTTGGTGTTTATATCTCTAGTGTATTTTAGCCTGGATCAGGTCATGTCGGCCAGGGAGCTTACCGATGGAACGGTCCACCAGAAGATGTTTCGTATTGGTTCAAGATCATGCACACGCGGTGTGCACTTCCAGAAACACCTGTTTGTGTTATTGCGAGTCACTTAAAACTAGTTAGAGGTGTTCTTACAGTGGATTTTGTCATCAATAAACCGTTGGCTAGAGTAGAACTTGCTTCGTGTTTCTCCGTTAACCAAGAACTGATGCATGTTAGCTTTTTGCGTTGAAAAAAAACGCTTCACCGGAACCGTACCACATCCGCTCCCTCAATAACAGTACCACCTCCAATGTTGGACACATCGCCAAATGGCTCTTCGTTGGGAAGCAGGTCGGCATTAAGGCGGGCGATGTATCGAAGTTCTCCAATACTGGGCTCTGAAGAAGATGATCAGTATAGATGTTACAATTGAGCACCAAGGGCACTAACCTGCAATTGTGTAAGTTGCCATGTGGATAATGGAATCTCCCTTGTGGACAACATAGTAATGTGTCAAGGTGGACGTTTCGCAGGTCACCTTGATGTAGTCGCCTATATTGATCAGGAAACTTTTCCATGGAGATCTGGTTTCTCAACTCACCACTCTCGGTCGCCGAAACAGTTGCGCTACCAAGACCTGATCCGATATGAGAACCAGTTGACTTGTATTGAAGCTCGGATCCGAAGTGGTTGATAGATGTTATGTCACAATTTGTCCGGCTGACAGTAAAAACAAGGTCGTTTGCTGAGCCAGCATCGATTACATAGGAGTCAGAGCTAGTAGTGATTCCAAAGGCCGCAGATGCCTGCTTGGCCAAAAAACCTATCGATGCAATGGCCAAGGACTTGAAAAACATCTTGCTCGACGAATATTGCAGAGAAACTTGCTGTCACATAAAATACGTTGGAGAGCAGACAAGCAGCATAAAACACAAGAGAGTTCATTGATTTCTTCATGCTTAAATGCTGCATAGTAGAAGGTGGAGAACAGCTGGCTGAAGCTCCGTCTCTAAAAAGTGCTCCGTGGATTTGCACATAGTTCCACCAATGAGGCTTCTGCCTCTTGGTGGCTGGATGATTTCCGTTCCAGGGATGGAAGGCTGCATATTCGACGTAAAGCTCGCTAGTTAAAAAATGACATAGGGCCAGCTTCTATGAGGAGTGTAAAGTCACCGGACCGTATTCGCCTTGTGTGGTGGGACCTCCGAAGTATTGGGCGGAAATTTGTACCCCTTAATACCGCCTTGCATATTCTGCCAGTTCTACTAGCTGACAACAAGCACATGACTAAGCATGGAGATGCCAATGGTTATTCAATAGGCAGGCGGTACATTAAGTAGGCGGTATCGGTAGAGTGGCAAATCGGGGTACGAGACCGCGCCAAATACTTCGGAGGTCACTATAGCCTTGCCGAGTGCAACTCCGTGTGGGGTGATGACTGTTTGATCACCACGGAGCCCCCCGCAGTAAAAGAGGAGTCTGACTTTTGAAAAAAATAATCATCGGTTGGATCTTTTAATCGAAATAGGAAAAATTCCTGATCATTTTAACCTGACGGAAAAGAATCCTTCCCGATTCCACAGTGCCTTGTCCCGATAGGCCGAGAGAGCTATTGCACATTCTCTTGGAGATGACTAGCATGTTCCATAGGCAAAATTTCCAGAAAAAAGAGAAAAAGTAGTTTTATGGAAATTCTTTTATTGCTCTTAAGATTACGTAGATGTCACTGTTTTTGACCCGGCGAAAGCAAGCATATCCCGAAAGTTAGTCAACTAGTTGGCTATCCGGTCCACATATAGTTCCTTGTTTGCTCTTCGGTTCTATAAACTGAGATTCACCCAGAGATCAAGAAGATGAATGAACCATTGAAAGTTGGAAAAATCAACAAACATGGCATTCCACAGAATCACCATATATTCGAGAAACAAAGATGTTAAAATGAATCCTCGCCTTCACATACGCAGTCAATGAAGGAAGCAGCCTGAGATCCTGAGATATTGAGTCAGACAAGATAGACTGTGACCAGAAAATGGACCAGCATATTGAGAGCCACACAACCAAACAACCACAGTCCGCTGATTTCGAACCAAATATGTGCATTGCATGTTAGAAAGAGATTACCTAGGCAGAAGAGTAGATCAGCCAGGTAGGACAAACACACTTGCAAGCACGGCTGGTGGACTCGTAAGTTGATGTTTTGGAACAAAAGCTCTGGGAAAGAGCCTACCAAATCTTTTTTCCAAGCGCATTTCTGCTAATGAGGAGCGCAGCCTTATGGAAACTGCCCACAGGCGGTGCCCGGGACAATTGGTTTTCGCCCATCCTTGATACAGGCAATGATATCAGCTGTGGGGACATCGGGAATTGTGGCCGCTAAAACCATGCTGCATAGAGCGAGGATGCTGCCAAGTTGGATGTACTTCATCGTGGGTAGAAGAAAAGTAGGTTGAGGCGTGATCGTTCCAACATAGCTGCAGTTCATTTTTATTTATATTCCCAAGGGAGGCGATATTGATGACATGTCGTAAAAAATACCGTAAGGAGGTTTCTTTAGGAGGTCTCTTATTTTGATAAGAAGAATTATCTATTGGACTACTTTCACAGGTCGAGATCAGCGTTTTGTGAGCCCTGAGCTCCGCAAGAACATGGGGTTGATTGGGTAAAGAAAAAATCCAAAATTATGGCATATGGTGTCAATAAAGAACAATACCACAACGTTGAGCGAAAAGCCAGCACTTATCCTTGAAATGCCATTGAACCTTTTCAACACCTTCCTGCCAAAAATGGGGCTCAATAGACTTAGCTGATAGATGCGGTGTTGAAAGTGTTTATCACATGGCTTGGTTTGCTTATCCTACTTCCCCATCGAGTCATGATCGCTCTGATGTCCTGTTATGATTAAGGAATAAATCCTTATTTCTTTTTAATTGGCGGAGCTCATTTTCACCATGGTTGACGGATCTTCTTTTCGAAAATTGTGGTCTAATGTAAGCTTGTTTCAGTTTCATGTCCTGTACTCCTTACAACTTGAAAGAAAAAAGGACCGTTCATGAGGCCTTGTATTTTTGGTCCTCTTCTTTCACGCCATTGTTATTGCATTTTTTAACCCTCTTTTTAAAACATTCTTGCATGCATTTTTGGATACCCCGGTGCATATCATTGAATCTATTGGTTCTAGTGCTTCCAGGAAGCGTGATAGAAGGCGGCCAGCAGTGCCAATGGCATAGCTAGGGTTATAACTCTACTAGAAGGCACGATTTGATAGAGTTAAAGAGGAAGGTCCGAGGAAGGAAGCAAAAAATTCGGAGGCGTACTTGCCTTCGCATTTCACTTTATCAACCAAGAACCTCTAGAGGCAACTTGAAGCATTGAATTTTCCAGTTTGGGGCTAGCAAATGCAAGAGGAGTATAGTAATTCTTTGTTTGATATTCACCTCAGACCTGGGGTACTTACCCTTAGATCTCTCAAACACTGCCGACTTCTCGAAAGATCAGTTAGTGTCTAAGCCGGCCTTCAATGCCTGCATTTTCTACTTTTAGGTGTGGTGATTGGGTTGCGGCTTTGTGGGCTCAAGGTGCAATTACAGTGAGATGCTGAGCTAATGGTAATCCATGGTAAGCCTCATCCCAATGGGGCCGAGGTATGGTATGCAGTCATGGTTGTATTCAATCAACACCTGCAAATTTTTCAACCCCCACTTAAACTCTCCATGCTAACCGAATATAGTTAGTACGCTGTCAGCATCGGCCGCCTATACATGGGCACCAGCAAGGGTTGCTCTGTCACGGACTTCAGCGTTCGGAACCGATTAAACCGATTAGAGGTATATAATCGATATTCGTCCTCCAAGTCTCTCTTTTCACCTATAATCTTTACAGCAGTTCAAACACTTTCAACAATTTCCGAAATGCATCTTATCCTCACAGGGGCAACAGGGCTAGTCGGGTCTTCAGTGCTCGACGCCATGCTCAAAAACGCAGCAGTGTCCAAGATCTCAATCCTGAGCCGAAGCCCAGTGCGAATGGCAGAGGATGCAAAAGACCCACGTGTTCACGTCATCACCCACACAGACTTTGAATCATACAAGCCAGAGCTACTCGAGCAACTGAAAGATGCGGATGGATGTGTTTGGGCCCTAGGGACAAGCCAAACCAATGTCACCAAGGAGTATGAGAGATTCCTTTGTTGCAGAGAGATTAGATCTAACAAGCATTAGGCATTACGTCAAAATAACCAAGGATTATACCCTGGCGGCTGCCAATGCGTTTTCCACAATCCAACCCTCAGATCATCCCTTCCGATTTATCCATGTATCTGGGGAAGGGGCCACCCAGACTCCCGGGCGATTCTCACCGATCTTTGCGAGAGTAAAGGGCGAGACTGAAACCCTTCTCGGAACGCTGTCAGAGCTAAAGCCAACATTTCGGGTCGATAGCGTGAGGCCTGCATTCGTTGATTCGGCAACGCACGGTGCCATCAAACCGTATATTCCATCTGCAGCAGTGACTGGAATTGTCTCAAATCTTGGAATGGCTTTGCTTGCCCCAGGTGTAAGGTATCTCATGAAGTCAATGCATTCTCCAACGGAGCACCTTGGGTCATTCTTGACGGAAATGGCGATGGGACGCTATGAAGCAAAATTGCAGGGCCCCGGGACATTCAGACTGGGAGGAGGTTACATCGTTGAGAACGCTGGTATGCGGAGAATTTTGGGGCTGTGAGCTTACAGCAAAAGGGATCGACCTGTAATTGTAAACAAGTTTAATAACTGTCCTTCTTTGTCAATACTCGCCCCGAATGATCTAGAAAATGCAGATTTTCCAGTGGGAGGTTTCGCCTATTATAAGGAAGAAAACTTTCTTAGGGAACAGAAATGCTTAGATTCCAAATTTTTGGGTTGAAATTGGAATTGCAAGGAGAATGAACACAAACTGAACCTACTGTGCATCGTATAAATCAAATGCGAGAGACAGCAGGATAACTTACCTGCCATCGGCGTCATGGGAAAATTTTCGTATCTATACCAAATGACAGAGATCTATGGTTTCAACAATGTATGGAACTACCAATAGATGTGGCATGAGAATTCTCTGAGCTCTCTAACTAACTAAAATGATAAATTCCGCCCCTTTCAACAGTCTGAATTAGTGATAAAATCATCTGAGAAAGTGAAGGAATTAATAGTTCTTATAGCTCCAAACAGCTCTAAAAACTAGGGGGTATGTCGAAACTAAGGGTGTAACCTATAGTTAAAACAGTGTAAAATCCCCAAAGACACTTAGACCACTATAATTGTTTCGCAAACATGAATTGTATATGACGTTTAGTCAGCTTCATCCGCACAGATTATTAAAAAGCGGATTTGATCATTCTAGTTAGTTAGAGAGCTCAGAGAATTTTCATGCCACATCTATTGGTAGTCCCATACATTGTTGAAACCATAGATCTCTGTCAGATTAGTAATGAAATGGGTAAGGAGGATGAATTCTTGGCGGCAGGGGCCTTAGGCACATAACCCTACCGAGCGATCAAGGGGGGCCCCCTGGTGTTAGTAGTCACTGCGAACACACCCCTGCAAACCTTCTCAGGAGCAGCTTTCTCTTTCTACACGAAGAAGTATTTTCCATGGTACACAAAATTAGGATGTACATTTTTCCGTCGGGCAGGAAAACTATATCTTCCAGAGTCCCGTACAAGCTTGCATAAAGGCCGCCTTGCAATACCAACTACCCAAATCACCATTTACATGTCCAAGCTCGAACACCCTTTTGAGACTCTTCGCCTTTTGCATGAAGACCTAACCTACTCCGCAGCAAAGAACCGAGAAACGAACGTTATCCATGAGCTGAGCTACTGGGAGCAAGAACGGAAGTTCTTGTCATATCGATATTACAATCGACACTCCATTAGCTCCATTGTTGCTCAGCATGTCGACTCAACAGCAGAGGATTGCCACGTAGCTAATCCGGCAGACTGGCTTTGTGGAAGCTTTAACATTTGCATTAGAGTCGACGTTCGGCGTGGGGCACGACCGAGTAAACAAGTTCTAATGCGATTCCCTTTGCCATATCGAGTTGGAGAGCAAATCCTCCCCGAGAACTCCGATGATAAGATACTTTGCGAAACAGGCACGTATGCGTGGCTTCAGGCGAATTGCGCGGATATACCGATCCCACAATTACATGGATTTGGATAAGGCACAGGCCGAACAGTACGTCTATACAAACAAAGTACACGCGATCCTTCTGGCTAATCAGATTTAGTTTACCCATCTAGAAAATCTGTTTTTCCTATCGCGTTTAGTTGATCAATTTCGTCGTTGGGCTCTACAACGCCTCGGCTACATAGTAACATCTCAAAATGTTTATTTTCCCACAGCGCCTACCCTCAGCGTAGGCTACATTTTGATTGATTGTATTCAGCCATCTCAAGGCAAAATGCTTTCTGAAACCTAGGAACATGGTCGTCATGACGCTCACTTGCGGATGAATCTTTTCCGTGGCCTTTCTCGGGCACTAGTCCAGCTGTCTCATTTCCCATTACCATGGATTGGTTCATTTGTCTTGGACGAAAAAGGATACCTAAGACTTAAGAATAGGCCACTCTCCCTTCAAATTCATCAACCAGAGAATGAAGGAATTCCGGTTGATATGCCACGGCATACCAGATATGAGTCAACGTTTTCTTATTTACATGACGTTTTCGCATTGTACGCGAGTCGGCTACGCCATCAACCTAATGCTGTAGCCCATTTGGAAGACGGGGCGCTATCGTTCTTTTGCTCGTCCTTGTGCTTCCCCGCATCCTTTCCATTCCCCTCTTCCTGCTCAGCCTTGAATTTCTGCATGGCTTTTCCCAGATTTTTGATCACACTCTTGCCTCATTCTGCCTGGGCAGCTTTTCCAGAGGATGTGAGTTGGTTGCGCCGCCGCAACCCCTCGGGCATCGCCAATGGTCAACACTAGGTCCCATACGATCCTCAGATCTCTCAATAGCCTTTATTTCTGCTCACTCCATCCTCCGTGTTATGATGCTGAGAGCTTCAAGTACCCAGTCCATGCGTGATAGCGCGTAGCAGCTAAATGCTCGTCGACACGAGAAACAGTTTTATGGGTGTGGATGGATAGATATCTATAGGTGGAAGGTGGGCCGAAAGGCCTCGTTTCACCTTCCGTGTTTGGACGATTTATACTCTTCCTTTCTTCCTCTCGCAACAGTGTGATTCCAGTGTGTCTTATCTCAGATCGGTTTTCCGAGAATATGTTGTAGTGCTGTGTTCAGAATTGGGTATAATAATACTACATACCAGTGTGTCTATCTTGCCTGTATTGCCGTGTGAGATGTCCACAAGATGTGAAGTGGTGGACTGTTGTGCAACCTCGCACAAAATCGAGAGAATAATGTGATAGATTTAGATTGATATTAATCTTTCGAATGTTGAAGTTTGGGAGCGTTTTAAAAATAGAAAATTAAGTTGTTATCTAGACAACCTCGCGTCTATGTATTGGTACCTATGCCCCCGGTAGTCTCACCATGATAGCATCACCACACAAGATCTATCATTGCAACATTGTCTCCACAACCATTCCCCTTCTTGCTCCTTTTGTATTTTGACGACACGCCCGTTCCCTCGTGTCACATGATTCCTTGAAGGGGGAAAAGAAAAGAGATAGCAGAGGGACCCGTTCCCGGAATTCCGTGAAGAAGAAAACCGCGTGGTACAATCGTCCCATGTCAATTCAAGCCACAATGAACTATGTGTGGAGTATGTCTTTACGGTGTGCGCAAATTTGGGGGAGAGAGAGAGGGTTCCCATCTGGCGTGAACATTCCAGATCAACATTCCACAATTCCCACCGTTTCCAGACCTGAAGATCCCGAGACATGATAATGACATAAATTGAGTCGGTAGAGAGACGGGGAAACTATAATGACAACAAAAACAATTACCACATAACAATACTAAGCTCCGGCCATTATTCGGAGTCCGGTTGACCGTTGCTTCTCTCACTGACCAATGATCAGCCTCAATTTCACACCCGGTTTCGGGATCCACCCCCAGTACGGGGAAAGGACCTCGCGTGGTGCCTGTTTTTGGGGTAAAACCAGATGCGGAAGTGTGTTGCTCAGTCTTAGACAAGGAGATCAAATCATGGAAATTGATTTAACATCCATGATCTCAGTTTTCCGTCGCTGAATCTGTCGACGATTGCAGATTTACCGAATCAGGAAATGATTGTCAACCTGAGCGGGGGGGGGAGCACGGAGGATGTACGGAGTGCTCCGTACTATACGGAGTACACTAATGCAATGCACATTAGACTGAAAAAAAAACCTCGATAGCCATGAAAGAAGTGAGGGGTAGTGGTGGCCATTCTTTAATTAATTCGAGACATACGACTTATGCTGACCAGGTTACATTTTGAGCTCAGAAACTAGACTCTGCAACCTCTCGTGGTTATACAGTCACAGCTGGCCGCAATGGTCATGTCTCGGGCCTGTGTCCACTCGGCGTTGATCCTATCGGGTGTCCCCGTTCTAGACAAACGCAAGCATATTGTTCTTATCGTATTGTTCTCGGGCAAAAAGCCTAATGTGCCTTAATTTGTCTTATCATTTCCTCAGTGCTCCATAGTCCGTAGCCATCTCCGTATATATTCCGTGAGGGACCCAGCAGTGGAGGGGGAAAAAAAAGCGCCATTGCATTCGCGAGTGGCTTGGTTTGTGAAGGACAACTGAGGCACTGCCAATATGCATTTTTCTACGATGGTTCGGGGGAGTGCCGTCATGGCTGCGCTGTCTGGCACAGCTGTGGGAATGGTAACATCACCATTCAAGCGCGACCTGAAGCTGTCAGCTGAGCTGGGGATTCATCCGGATACTCTGCTCAGTCAAAAAACTACGGTACATGCTATTGCCAACTCCCAGCTGGATTCGATTATTAAGGCAGAGTATGTTTCGGTATGTATCGAAATTTCCCGGCGGTGTTGAAGACAGAGAGAAATGCTGACGATTGGTAGCTACCCATTGATCACAGCAACTCTTCGGTTGGTTATTACCAAAATCGATACTGGGTATCCGAGGATAATTACAAGGAGGGCGGACCCGTCTTCGTGTATGACGTTGGTGAAGCATCGGCTGAATCGTCGGCTCAAGCTTACCTGGGCAATTCGACGACGTTCTTTTATCAGATGGTTCAAGAGTTCGGTGGAATTGGTATCGTTTGGGAGCACCGGTTTGTGTCCGCTTCCTAGTGGAAGCCTGATCTCAATTAACGCAAAGTAGATACTATGGAGATTCTCTTCCCTACAACGTCAGCCTGCACATGCAGCCCGAGCATCTCCTGTACCTGAACAACGAACAGGCTCTGGCCGACATCCCCTTCTTTGCGGCCAACTTCACCCGCAGAAACTACAGTGATGTGGACCTGACCCCAGGCGGAACACCGTGGGTCATGGTTGGAGGCTCGTACTCGGGCATGCGATCTGCGTTCACCCGTCATTTGTATCCCGAGACAATTTACGCTTCCTACGCTTCCTCTGCCCCCGTGGAAGCACGGATTGACATGAGCGTCTACTTCGATCAAGTTTACGACGGCCTGGTGGCATATGGGCACTTGAACTGCACTCGAGACGTCCAGGCCGCACTGGAGTACGTCGATGAGCAGCTCTCCAAAAGCACATCGTCCGCAGCGGCCATCAAGAAGGCATTCTTTGGCGAAGGCGCCGACAATAACAGCAACGGCGATTTCACCGCCGCACTCGCCATTGTTTACAACTATTTCCAGTCTTATGGTATGGGCGGTGGTGTGGGCAGTCTGGAGTCCTTCTGTGCGCACATGGAAACCGACCCGAAGACCAACCAGACGGCGCCCCCACAAGGATTTGCCGATAGCCGGGGCAAGCAGTATGCCGCGGAGCGCTATGCATCATGGCCGGCTTTCACGGAGCTGGTCAACATGAACTTGGATACCAACTGCAAGAAACTTGAAACCAGCGAGGCGCTCACTTGCGATCTGTCGCAGCCATCTAGCGACCCGGATACCATCAGCTGGACGTGGCAGTACTGCACCCAATGGGGATTCTTCCAGACCAACAACTTCGGACATCGCTCGCTGCTGTCCAAATACCAGACCCTCGAGTACGCACAGGAATACTGCAACAGAGCCTTCCCGGAGGCTATCAAGAAGGGTCTCTTCCCCAAACACCCATTGGTGGATGAGGCCAATGCGGAGACCGGCGGATGGACTATTCGCCCGTCCAACGTTTACTGGAGTGGCGGCCAATTTGATCCCTGGCGTACTTTGTCTCCCCTCGCGAAGGGCACTCCGCTGGCCCCGCAGGGAGTGTCTATCACAACCGAGATCCCGAAGTGCAATGTGGAGACGGAGGAAAACACAATTTTCGGATACATCATGAAAAATGCGGAGCACTGCTTTGATTTCCGCACGACCTTCGTGCCTGGAGCGATTTCCCGGGAGTTCTTCTACACGGCTTTGACGGAGTGGCTCAGATGTTTCAAAGCCAAGACTCGCTAATCTTTGCATAATCTTGGAACTTTCGAGAGATTGACGTGGATTCCTATGATTTGCCCATAGTTGTGCCCTATTCCCCCATTTTATAACATCCTATGATCGGACATTTTCTAACGCGGGGCTCTACCGATGCCATGAACATACTATATATAGCATTTGGCGAAATAGACCACTTTCATTTCACATATTTAATTCTTCCTTCTTTCATTCAATAGAGAAATCAATTTCTTTTTAATAAAAACCCAACATGTGGTTGTGCCCTTCAGTTGCTCTGGTTGGTGCCCTGTCCGTAGCCTTCTTGCTCGTGCGCTACTTCGCACAGCTGCACCATCACCGCGAAAAATCCAAAGCCTTGCACTGTAAGCCTCCTCTTTCGGGCTCTTCCACTTTCTTTGGCATTCCAAATTTCATTCGGTTGAGTAAGGCTGTGCGCGAAAAGCGCTGGGTCGATCATTTCTACAACGAATATGCTGTCCATGGAAATACCTTCAAACAGACGTTCCTCTCTCGCAATTTAATCACAACCAGGGAGCCTGAAAACGTCAAGGCGATTCTCGCTACCCAATTCAATGATTTTTCTCTGGGAACAAGACACCAACATTTCTACCCACTCCTGGGCGATGGCATCTTCACTCTCGACGGTGCTGGATGGTCACATGCGCGCGGATTATTACGCCCGCAGTTCACTAGAGACCAAGTAAGTTGAATCGGGGAATTCATGCCCGACGTGTGATTGACAAGAGTGACAGGTTGCCGATCTTTCCATGCTAAATGACCACATCTCCAACTTTATCGATCTGATCCCCAAGGACAGAAGCAGCTTTGACATCCAGCGTTTGTTCTTCCTGCTGACCCTGGATTCGGCAACGCACTTCCTATTCGGGGAGTCGGTTGGGTGTATGCTTCCCTCTTCGAGGAGGACGGGCGTGCTGGAGAAATGCGCCGTCGGTAGTGCACAGGGCTTTGCCAACGCCTTCGGAACCGCTCAGGATTATCTCGCTGCACGAATTCGTGCGCAGGGAATGTACTGGGTCATTAACCCCAAAGAATTCCGTGAAGCAAACCGGAAAGTACACGAGGTCGTCGATCATTATGTCCATCTCGCTCTGGAATCGAAACATAATGCGCAAAAGAAGAACGCCGACGGTCGGTATATCTTCCTTGAAGCACTAGCGGACGACACCGATGACCCCAAGATTCTGCGCGATAACCTGCTCAACATATTGTTGGCTGGTCGCGATAGTACGGCCAGTTTACTGAGCTCGACTTTCTTCTATCTTTCTCGGCACCCTAATGTATGGAACCGGCTGCGTCGTGAGATCGTGGATAGTTTCGGAGACACGAAGAAGTTGCGGTCGGAAGTAACGCATACCAAGCTAAAGGATATTCATTATCTGCGATATGTATTGAATGAAGGTGAGTCTTTGCAGCATATACAGTATAGTGCATTAGTGAATATTCAAACCAACTTTCCCCCCCCCAGTCCTTCGCCTTCAACCTCCTGTGCCTATCAATTTCCGCGTTGCAACCAAAGACACCTCCCTACCGGTTGGCGGTGGCGCGGACTACCAGTCCCCGGTCTATGTCAAGAAGGGTACGATGGTTGCGTACAGCGTATACGCTATGCACCGCCGGACGGACCTGTGGGGTAAAGACGCAACTTCCTTCCGGCCCGAGCGCTGGGAGGAAACTGCTAAGCATGGATGGAAATATCTGCCTTTCAATGGTGGACCGCGTATCTGCCTTGGTCGTAAGTATTACATGTCCTTGCTTTCTCCTAAGGCACTAAATTGAAACCCAACCCGAATGGCTGGTTGACAATCAATCTTTAGAACAATACGCTCTCACTGAGGCAAGCTACACCGTCGTTCGTCTTATGCAGCACTTTGATACCCTCGAAAATGCGGACCCCAATCCTCGGCAGGAGCCAGTGAAATTATCTAATTTGACCATGTCGCATGATCTTGGCGTGCACATTCGTTTGTACTCTTCAGACGTGATTTAGGTCTCTGGGTTTCTGTTATGATTGAATTCTAAAAATTTGTATGGATCTTCGAAGGGGAGGATAAGCTTTGAGGCTTTGATTTCTGGCTATTACTGGATAAATTGAACCAAATCGAACACTTGCGAAGACTCGAAATTATTCCCAGTCCAACTCAGGGGGACGGGTCAATGGTATAGAGTAGGAGGATAACAAGTTGAACATTTGATAGAGAAGTGCCCTTTTACACCCTTCCCTAGATATCGTTTTTTTTTGATGTCGTTGGACTTCACTTGGAAAAGGATTAGGAGAGAGAGAAGGAGGAAATCATGTCAATCAAACTAGCAAGTCACTGGGATTCATGCTCGGTCATAATCATTCCAAAGCGCTCAGTCTGCTAGCAACTACGCATCTATGGGATGGTGCAACAAATAGTTTTAGACCGTGAAGCAACGGTGACAAATGTGGTTCTCACAAACCTATCATGACGGGTGATACTCTAAGCATCATGATAGATAGGCCTATGATTGATGTACAGCTATTGCAAGGGGCTAAAGCACGCTAGAGCTTTACAGAATTAGCCCCTGACCTTTGGATTTGCTTTTCAACTTCTGCAAAAATCAGTTATCGGTGGAAACAAAAAAGTCATGTCCGCTCCGCCTGATTCTGATGTCAATAATTTTGTTCTGGTTGGCGTAAAATGTTATTCGTGACTTCACTATGGACAAAATCCTTCCTCCCCCTCTTACCGACATTGTTTTAATCAGGAAATGGCTTCATCAAACCGCATACGGCTTGGAGCGAAGTGAATGCTCTCGAAATTGCCTCTCACATCTTGCGGGGACAGGTAAATGGCTTGCTTCCACTAAAACCCTATCAATTGTGGCACCAAGGCGAGGAAGATGGACTGTTGTGGGTCAAATTTATCTGAAGCTCCGGCAAGTCTGTCCTAGCTCCTTCAACCATCAATCAATTCCAAAAGAATGTGAGTCTAGTCATCTTTGTCTTTTTCTAGACAGACTATCAATGGCAACATCAGACCGTGGCTGCGCTGGGTGACTGGCTGTGTCAACTTTGAGATTATAGCCCTCCCCTGCAAGTCAAGCCCAAGAATGATATCGACTACCATCGTGATTTAGAGAGCCTTCTTCAAACGATCTCGAAAACTTCATTTTTTGTTAATGATCTTCTCGAACTAGGTGTTGATTATCTCTAGCCAGACTCCAATGGAAAGGCTGCGCTCCACCATTTAGCAAAGTACCTGAAAGAAGAAAAGTACGAGAGTCACTTCAAGCGGTTCCTGGAAATGGGCGTGGATTTTAACTCTCGGAATCTCCAAGGCGATGCACTCCTTTTCAAAAGACATAGAAAATGGCATGACACCTCCTCAAAGCTACTGGAAATACAATTATAACGAAAAGAAGGACGTCTCACCGAGACTATCTTGGAATTTTTTGATAATGCTAGAGCTGACTTCTTCGCAAATAACAATGCAGGTTCCTCATTTCTTTATTTGCTAGTCTCTAAGAAAGCAGGTACAGGGTCTCGTGCAAAATTCTCGTACAATGTGTTCTGGTGATTCAAGATCCTGATAAATCGGGGACTTGATCCTTTGGCCGATGATGCACGCCAGCGAACCAGTTTGGATGTTGCTGCCGTTTATGGTAGTGAGCATATCATGAAATCGTTGGCACGAAAGCCGATGGTGTAGAATAGTGTGAGGGGGATAACGGCACGGAAGTTGCAGGATGCGATGGAAATCCTAGTTCAGATCCTACCCTGGGTTGTACATATCAAAGTCGTCTATCCGGGTTGAGCTTTTTACTCCCTTCTGATCTATTTGTAGAATGGGAAGCCCGGAGTATCTTCCTTCTATATTCATGCTACGCATAAAGCCAGGAAGAAAATAATATATAGAGAAAGATAAGAAAAGAATCTAGAAATACATTTCAAAATAAATCCTGGTACATAGCATTCCTTCTTTCTTCTTCACATCGTTCCTACCGGCCTTTTCCTGGTCAATCTGTCCTGTTATTCTTCTTGGGTTCACTTTATCTGCTTTCGGTCATGTGTGTGGATTAGAATCCACATAGACCAAGATACCACATACTGTACAGCGGAGGACCGGTGAGGAAGAGGCAAAAATATTTACACAGTGCTGTGGGTGCCTAATAGTTTTAAATTCAAGTACTCCATAGGTAGATTAAAGATAGTTCACTGACATACGTACAAGGACAGATTGAGAGGGGACGAGGGGGGTTACTTCTTAAACATTGCCATTCCATCATCAAACCCTCTATCCCGAGGGTTCTATCGACAAGACGTAGAATGGGAATGTAAGAGAAGGGGTCTAGATTCAGCTAGGTATGGCTATGGCCTATATTTACTCCGTTGTAAAAGTACCTTGTTATGAGAAAGTTCCGACGCCGAAACCTCGGAACCTTTCCTGCACGTCAAGAACATGTCTCCAGATGTCGGAATACTGCGTGATTCATGCACGGTGGATGCCTACGTGCAGGTATCCTCTACAAAGCATGGGTTTTTGTTCGCACCGGGGAAACTGTCAGCCGGGGTTTCCCCGCGGTTTTACCGTTTACATCCAAATAGGAAATGAACATCACAAGTTAGTCTATATTGATCAAGACATTCTTTCTATTGGCTCTTTCTTCATCTATTCTCGGTCAATTGATCCTGGGCATATTATGCCGTAGACGTATTTAAGCGTGCATATCCCGGGGAAAGCTCTAGGAGCTATCCAAGATCTACACCATGAAGCTCTCAAGTGCAATCACCGTGGGCCTGGCAAACCAGGCATTGGCTGCTCATTCCGATAACCCCTCGGTTGACTACAACTCGGCTCCGCCAAACCTTTCTACCTTGGCAAATGCAACCCTTTTCGACACATGGAGACCCAGAGCCCACCTCCTGCCTCCCTCTGGGAGGATAGGCGACCCGTGCGCGCACTACACCGATCCTAAGTCCGGTCTCTTCCATGTGGGTTGGCTTCACGATGGAATTGCAGGAGCCACGACGGATGATCTTGCTACCTATAAAGATCTCAATCCTGATGGAGCTCCGGTAATCATCGCTGGAGGAAAGAATGATCCCCTTGCCGTCTTCGATGGCTCCGTCATTCCAAGCGGTGTCAATGGCCTGCCAACCCTGTTGTATACCTCTGTTTCGTACCTCCCAATTCACTGGTCTGTCCCTTACACCAGGGGAAGCGAGACACAATCACTGGCTATTTCGTCCGACGGTGGACGCAACTTCACCAAGGCTAATCAAGGCCCTGTGATCCCCACGCCTCCATTTGCTCTCAATGTCACCGGTTTCCGTGACCCCTACGTTTTCCAGAGCTCAATTCTAGACAAATCTGTCAACAGCACCGAGGGAAGCTGGTATGTCGCCATCTCTGGCGGTGTCCACAATGTCGGCCCTTGCCAGTTTCTCTACCGTCAGTATGACGCAGATTTCGAATACTGGGAGTATCTCGGCCAATGGTGGAATGAGCCCGCCAATACCACTTGGGGTACCGGTGACTGGGCTGGCGGATGGGGCTTCAACTTTGAGGTTGGCAACGTCTTCGGTCTGAATGCAGAGGGCTACAGTGAGGATGGTGAAATCTTCATGTCCCTTGGTACTGAGGGCTCAGGGCTCCCCATCATTCCCCAGGTCTCTCCAATTCACGACATGCTGTGGGTGACCGGAAATGTCACAAACGACGACTCCGTCGCATTCAAGCCAACCATGGCCGGTGTACTTGACTGGGGCTTGTCGGCGTATGCTGCTGCAGGCAAGATTTTGCCAGCTAGCTCTCAGGCATCCAAGAAGAGCGGTGCCCCCGATCGTTTCATTTCATACATCTGGCTCACCGGAGATCTGTTCCAGACGGTGGAGGGATTCCCTAGCGCCCAGCAAGACTGGACCGGGGCTCTCTTGCTGCCACGCGAACTGAATATTCGCACTATCCCCAACGTGGTGGATAACAAACTTTCGCGCGAGTCCTTCGCATCGTGGCGCGTGGCCCGCGAAGAATCCGGTGAACTCGAGCTTGAGACACTGGGAATCTCAATTGCCAGGGAGACCTACAGTGCTCTCACATCCGGCTCATCGTTTGTCGAGTCTGGTAAAACTTTGTCCAAGGCTGGGTCGGTGCCGTTCAACACCTCACCCTCAAACAAGTTCTACGCTCTGACAGCCAACATCTCTTTCCCGGCCTCCGCTCGTGACTCCGGACTGCAAGCTGGTTTCCAAGTGCTGTCCTCTAGTCTTGAGTCTACAACTATCTACTACCAATTCTCCAACGAGTCCATCATCATCGACCGCAGCAAAACGAGTGCCGCATCGAAAACAACTGATGGAATTCTCAGTGATAACGAGGCGGGCCGTCTTCGTCTCTTTGACGTCTTAAGAAATGGAACAGAACAAATCGAAAACTTGGAGCTTACCATCGTGGTGGACAACGGAATCCTAGAAGTCTATGCTAATGGACGCTTTACTCTGGGCACTTGGGCTCGGTAAGTCCCTCCTGTTTCAAAAAAAAAATTGATCCATAACTGACAGCATGCAGGTCTTGGTACGCCAACTCGACTGAAATTAACTTCTTCCATAACGGTGTGGGAGAGGTGACATTTGACGATGTTACTGTCTTTGAGGGACTTTATGACGCCTGGCCAGAGAGGAAGTAAAAGCCCCCATTGTTGAATGGCTTCAATGATGTTCTTCCTTCGGGAAGTGATACAGTCTATTAATGTTTTTACTTTGCCTATCGTGCCCATGAAAGCTAGGATAAATGAATTTAGTACTCTACCTATCCCACCCATCATGCTTGTTTAGCAGCTCGGATAGAATTGAAACTTCATCATCAAAAAGAAGCTCGAATCCTAAAGATTCCCAAGTCATTTATCCTAATAGGTACTGCTAGATGAAACGCAGTCTCTTGCATTACCACAGAACTCGGCACTTCATTTAAACCGTTGAGGACTTGGAAAAAGCTATTCTCACACATGGAGAATGCGGTACAGGGTCGTTCAAGAAATCTCTCCAAATCCCTTATTTAAATCAAATAGTTAGCAGCACCTGATCTTACAGTTATCCTCTTCACCTTGACGATCTGAAGCTTAGACTTGCATGACTCGATTCCAAAGTGAAGCCCCCGATATTCGAAGCCAATAAAATCACTCAGGATTACTTGTCAAATTGAAGTCATTTACCGACGGATTCATCTGTTCTTTTCTCACTTTAAGCAAGGCAACTATCCGTGCCTTCAAACTGGGCATCATGATAAGCATAACCCCAGATGTTAGGTTGAACGTTGCTCGATTAAAATACGTTAAATGCCCTTGACTGTGATTGATCACCATATGATACCATCTGACTGGGCAGGATTGCCAGGGAGTTTAAGAAGAGCAACTTGGGGCAAGTATGAAAGACCTCCTTATGGCGCCGATCAGAGAAGGGCCTCACAAACAACCTTTGGTCTACCTCCCAGCCCGAAATCACAGTTCCTACAGAGCAACCATGCCTTCTCGCCGAGATGTTCTTCTTTGCCTTATGACTACCTCTACAACCGTCTTTTCCGAGCGCCTGAAGGTCCCCTGATCAAGTGGTGACTTTTCAGCAATCTCTGGATCCCCCGGCGGCAACACAAGTGGACACTACGTAGGCTTTGCGATCCATCCTAAATGAGGCCAGTGAGGCTTTCTAGGACCATTCCTATCCCGAAAACCACACCCCTTGTTATAAATCGGCGACGGCCACGATTTTAGTGTCAAGACCGACTTCTGGGCTACCCTACTCACGGTTAAGCACAAGGCAGACTTTGAAGGGTCACCCTGGGACCTGTCATATTAAGGACGGTTGTAGCGATAGCCTCGGTATTGCCAAGATTGAGACCGACAAAATTCTATTCGATATCACTATTAGTCAGGAAGTGGGCTGTGTTGAATTCGATTCTGATAGCGATGGCGGCCCTGTCGATGGCGGCAACGGTCCTCTTCAGGTTACCTCATGCTAACACTCATTTCAAAATTGCTTGAAAGTTAGGACTGCAAATTCTGGAACATATCTTAGTTCTATCTATCTTGATTTATGCACACAGGGATGAGATTCTAGCCTAGGAACCAATAACTTCTATTTGGAGCATCAGTAAATTGCCCTAGATGCCCTACGGACAACATATAACAATTTATTTGGGCCGTCTTAGGACCTCCTCCACTATGACCATGAAAGACGAGTCAATACGATAGGTGGTATACAGAATGTATGGACTAGCAAGAAATAGAAACAATTCTGGCGGTGCAAAAATAGGAAAGTGGTGCCTCTAGGCTGCGAGGTTTTCGGTGTCAAAATTGAGATTTTTCATACTTCATCGACCAACTAATCAGAGAAAACCAGAAACCCCTTAATACATATGAATTAAAACTCTACGTTTGATCTACATCTGAAAGAAATATGCTAGAATTACAGTTATGTCTGAGCCAGATTGCTGTGTTTCCAAAGGCCCTGCTGTCAAACTAGCCTTGTGTTGAATGTATTATCCGGAGAATTAGTTAGAGCATCGAATCGAATAACAAAAAGCCACTTTAATGGTCAAATATTACACGATTGCTCGAAGCTCTCTGTTCTGTGCCAGACGTGCAGCAATTAAAAGGAGACCACCTAGCAGCAAAGAGACCCCCGAATACAATGACAGGGAAAGATACCCATATTTTTCCACTAACGCCCCACTGATCGGCACATTTGCCATAGCACTGTGCTTCTTGTCAGTAAGTCGCATTATCTTTTCGAGAAATGGCGGTCATACGATAGAGCTGTGGAACCTGACACAGTTCCGATGGCTAAGCCAAGAGTGGTAGAAGTAGAAATTTGAGCTGCACAAGCTTGCTGGAGGGATAGAATGCCCTACAGTTCTAGTTAGCATTTGAAGGTTATTGTCATTCGAGAAAAAAACTCACTCCAGACGCAAAGCCGTATGCAGCGCACCAAATTACCAGTCCGGCCACAGATGTCACCTTGGTCCAGCACAATGCAATTATCCCTGCGGATATAGTGGCGATGATGCAACAGTTGAATTTTCCGTACTTATCAGCAATGATGCCAGGGAGAACTCGCCCAGGGAAAGATGCGCCATTCACAATGGACACCGTATAGAATGCTAGAGATGTCGAAAATCCTTTCTCGACTGCGTAGGAAGTCGTGTAGAAGAACGGCGAGAACATGCCAAAGTATATGATGAACATTGCAAGGCACAGTAGCTGCAAGGATGGCTTTCGCACAAGGGCCAGAGCCTCTGCCTTGTGACTCGGCGGTATGTCCTTTTGTCCAGAGATATATTCGTGACGTTGTTGGCTTGTATGGTGACTCTCCACACTCGTCTTAGGTGTGTCCGGAGATTTGGCAACTGCACAAGAGAAGGTAAAGCATGGAATCATGATAAAGCCAACAATTCGCATTGTCCAGGAAAATCCAAGATTGGGATTTTTAACCAATCTGTTGATTGCAATGGGCCAGATAATGCCGCCGAGCGAGGAACCCGCAAGAACAATTCCCATCGCCGCAGCACGCTTCGCTTTGATGTATTGTCCAACCAATGCGAGCATTGGCCATGTCGCCAGACCCATGGAAATACCAAACAAGATACCCTGGGTAAGTAGGAATTGATAAAACTCCTCGCATAGTGAAGTCATCATCAGGGCAAAAACACACCCAAATGAGCCAACATATACCATAAGCTGTGCGAAGGAATCATCAGTTTCTCTCCCAAGGATTGAGCAAGAGTGAGCTGACCTTTGGTCCGAAAATATCAAGCATTGCCCCCGCTCCGACAGATGTGGCAAACAGAAAGAAGATTGATATAGCCCCAATCCATGCGATGGTAGATGTGGAGCTTGAGGATAGCTGATTCTTTGCGTAATACTCTTGGAAGATGCCAAACGAGTTCATGAAGCCCACCGTGCAAAATGCACATGTGAAGGCGCCGAATATGGAAAGCCATGCTCGGGTTCTATTATAGTCAGCACGCTCGGCTACATAAAAGCTTAAAGCACCTTTCACGTACGTGTATTCAGTAGGAGGACTATCCTTTGGTAACATTTTGGGGGTCAATGAGAATGTTGAGGATGGAGAAATGAGCAGACCGATTTGAAAAGGCAACGGATTTAGTTTGAAGCGATGGTACTGCGGGACGCCATGAGCTTTATATAAAAAATTCCAACTAACAACATTTACAAGGAAAAAGATAACTGATCTCGGAGTCTCCGGGCTACTGTATAGATGCCCGGAGGCAGAATTTACGGATCTGGTTTAGCGTCTCGGAGAGTCCGCGGACTCTCCTCTCCGGGCGAAGAACTACATGCTGTTTCCTGCGCAAAATAAACACTGATAGCGCCATAATTATTGCTTTCACTGTTGCATCTATTGTTAGACTTTGTCTTAGAGATCTGAAACATGAAACGAAGATCAGATCTTGGAGTCATCACCCCAGGCTCGAAGAGACAGTCTCGACAAGATCCCGTTTCCTGCGAGTTCTGTCGAAAGAAAAAGCTGAAGTGTGACAGAGAGCTTCCATGCAGTAGCTGCTCTACCCGGGGACTAGATTGCAGCTACGGCTATGGCTTACGAGCGACACCTATACATCACATGAGCCAAACAGACCAGAGGCCCATGTTGGACGATCGCATGTCTGAGCCACCCCGGACCTTACAGTGCACTCCACGACAGGACAGGGAGACACAAAGCCGCAATTTAAATGATCCCCGTTTGACAGCCGATTGGCTTGAGACAATTGTCATGGGACACCGTGTCCCCAGTGCAGTTCCTGCCACGCTGAGGGCCGAGCTCTTGCAGCACCGGGAACCCATCCGCTCGCTTTCACAGCAGAATACTACACCTAGGTACCAATTTCCTCCGTTGTGCGAACGGTCCGCCTCTCGCGAGAATCCGGCAACTATCCATTTGCCGTCGTATCTGCCACCGCTGGTAGAAGCCCTGAGTCTATTTCGGTACTATTGCAAATACCTAGACTTCCAGTATCATCTTATCATACCCAGCCATGTGGAGCAACAGATTGAGACCATCTACAAGCTTGTTGCGCGAAATGAGTCTATCAATTTTGCCCATACGGCGCTGCTGTTTGCTATCACTGCAGCTGCCCTGTATTACAAGCTCCTGATAGAGTCGCCGGAGCACGCAGAACCATTCAGTCAGGAACACACGTTTTTGGCGGGTGCCGCATTGATCCAGAGCAATTACATCCCTAATCCCAGCCTTGAGGGACTGCAAGCGACCATGGTCATTGGCCATCATCTGTCCAATATGAACGTGCCCTCATCCGTCAGTTCGTTGTTTGTGCATAGGTCGTTTGTGAGTCAAGCTACTGGTATGGGCCTTCATCTTGTGGATTGTCCCCGTGTTGTGGCCGAACGCTCAGCGAATGGGTTTGACAAAACAAAGATTGAGCTCAAACGACGGCTGTGGTGGGACTTGGCAACATACGACTGGTACGTTTTTAGCAGAGACCTTGCTGGTACAATTCCTGATGATATTTGAAGGTTGATAGGCTTTTTGAGCGGACCACAAGAGTGGACGTACTCGATCTATCCTCAGCATATGATTGTACACCAACCTCTCAATGTTGAGGATGAGGATATCGACCATAGCGAGAATGGTGTTCCTCTTTCTACTCCAACCGCAATGACATACAGTCTATGTCGATTAGAGTTGGCTGTTGTGTGTCGCCAAATAGTGGACGAAATGGCACACTACCACTTTCATGAACAAGAGGTACCGTATGAGAAGATACTTGATCTCGATCAAAAGCTCAACAAGATATGCGCTGAGCTCCCCAGTTTCTTTCGCTTTGATCAAACCTCTCGGCGTGCATTCTCAGCGCTCTATCATGAGCGGCCAGCTCTTGCATGGCAGCGAGCTCTGGTACAACAGGGTTACCATTCACGATTCTGTCGGTTGCATCGCCACTACCTAGTGCGTGGAGCAAAGGATCCTAAATATTCCTATTCGCATGTCGTAGCTCTTCGATCTGCACGTAAGGTGCTTGAAGTAAAACGCATTATGGATGAGGAAGAGCCTGTGTTCACACCGCATAGCTCGGTCGTATGGGCAGTGATGCACCACGTGTTCATGGCAGCTGCCATTCTTCTGATAGATGTGTGTTTCAACTGGGATGAAATTCTGGCCGAGAAGCGAAAAGAGGAAGTACTTGACGCCTGTCGAATGCTCAGCCGGGCACAACAATCCTCGCCCATCGCACGTGAAGGAATCAAGGCTATGATGGGGATCTTGCGAAAGCATTGGAAACATGAAAAAAGGGTAAGCTCTCGTGAGCTGCAGGAGCTTACTGCGTCTTCAAATTCAAATTCTACAACAGTCAATGCCCCCCAGCCGGATATCCCCACGCCAGCCTCGTTGGATCCCAAAAGCGTCACATTCCCTGAAGGAATTTCCAATAGTCAATCAACGGTGTACCCTTCAGAGGATGCATGGATTAGTCCATTGCCTCTTGAAGACTTATGGACAGAGATACTAGAGAGCAGCGCTAATGTTGAGCTGAGCACACCAGACTGGACAGACTTGCTTACCGAGTTGACAAATGTTACTTTGCCAAGCGAGTAGGTAAATTTCTAGCTGGGCGGATGATGAACATATGACATCAATTATTTGGTCGATCATGAGGCTCTGCTAGTAACCTAAGACAACAAGGTTCTGACAGATGCGCCTCTGTTTTGATGCTCCATCAGCCTGACTGGCGCCGGGATCCAGATTTTAGATCCCCAAACACAGTCCTCTATGATAGGGTCGCTCCACTGTAGCTCAATAGTTTTATCCATTTTCCATCTTTTTTTTGAAAACTCGATGGGCTTGAGCAAGATGCTGGAATTTCTTCTTAAAGGGTTCTTTAGACTCATGGAAACTGGAAGAGTCAATATTGCTACAGGTGCAAATCACCATAACCGGCGACCTCGTGAACAATGAAATTCTAGCTGTTGAAGTACTTTGTTGTTTGGAGACTGGGTGCAGTGGTGCGGCAAATCCGAGTAATGCGTTTTTGGGGTAATCTCTGCCAGCTGGGTT